GGGCGTGCATGGGTGGAATGATGAACAAGAAGTTCTTGATTTCTGCAAATGGTATGGCGTTGATCCCGAGCGATTGATCACCATCCCAGTGGCTGCAAACGAAGGGAAGATGTACACTCGCACTACCTTCCAGGCACTTCAGCAGCAGATCGACCTCTTTGGCCGGCCGCCGAAGTCGTTTTACTCTGGGCTAGCTGCACATGCTACTAGCCCTGCTGATAGATTGGCGCTTCAATTTATCGGCGCACCCGAAGGGTCATCTACATTCAAGAAGCTGGGAGAGAAAGATACTGTCACATTTGCCGAGGTCTTGCAACGATATCCTAGCGCGAAGCCAGGCATTGAGACTTTATGCGAGATGATTGGAGAAATCAAACCCAGGCACTACAGCATTGCAAGCGCGCAGAGTGTGGTTGGCAATCGAGTCGACTTGCTAGTGGTGACCGTGGAATGGACTGCGCCAAACGGTATGCATTTTTTGAATCGGTTTCTTTCATGTTAACGAGCTGATCTTTTAGGCACCCTTCGTTATGGACAGTGTACTAGGTATCTAGCCGGTCTCAAGGTTGGACAGAAGGTTACCGTTTCCATCAAGCCCAGTGTTATGAAGGTATGTGTTGACTGACTCGTCGACCCCGACTCCGCCATTGACGTACTCTTTTTTAGCTTCCGCCAGATAATATGCAGCCCATCATCATGGCAGGTCTTGGCACTGGAGCTGCTCCATTCCGAGCCTTTCTACAGCATCGCGCTCTACTCGCTCATCAAGGCATCCCTGTGGGACCCACCTACTATTACTTCGGTTCGCGGCACCAACATCAAGAATATCTCTACGGCGAAGAGATAGAAGCGTATATCCTGGACGGTACGATAACAAAAGCTGGACTTGCCTTTTCTCGAGATGGACCCAAAAAAGTGTACATCCAACACCTCATGCTCGAGGACGCTACTGTTCTCGCATCCCTGTTGAAGAATCAGGCGGGGGTGTTCTACCTGTGTGGCCCAACCTGGCCTGTACCTGACGTGTACGAAGCACTTGTAGGTGCGCTGGTCAAGAACGAGGGACATACCTCGGAGAGTGCGGGAGAATTCTTGATGAGTCTTAAGGAAGAAGAGCGCTATGTTCTGGAAGTGTATTAGAAGACCTTGTTATACACAGTATAAGAGCATCTGCATTTTCACTAGGCCTGACCGATGGTCCGGTTCGGCGTTCGGATTTAGAGGCCCCTGAACCGGACCGAACTGGACTTCGGCAGCACTATGAATCAGACAGTCAGCGACAGGGACACAATCACCATAGCCAGACTCATGGAAGATTCAAGGGCCACATTTACAATAGGTTCTGGGTACGTAAAAAACACCTACTTACAGCTCGCCTAGTACAACTTCTGACTTGTCTCAACAACAGTCATCTTTGTGGTTACCCTGCGTCTCTCTCTTCCAAAGAATTCAAGATATCGTATCAACGGTGAAGTAAATGTGAGGTTTAGTAGTACCATTTGAAGGTACGTACGCGAAACAGTAATTTATAGAGAACAATATAAAAACCAGCCATCTTCCTACTATTGCCTTCAGATTACCTGAACCCACACACGAGTCGCAAACAATGCATTTCTCCTTTGCAACTGTCCTCGCCGTCATTGCTGCTTTAGTAGCATCAAGCTCTGCCATCCCCACTACCAGTGATGCAGATAGATGTGCCCCGAATTGCAATTGACTCGCAATGCCAAGATAAACACTGTACATCGAAAATATGTGCGAGTATGAGCATTTCCTGGACCTGATAACATGACTCACCTGCATGACAGAGCGTTCTGAATTTCTGCACAGTGAGCCATTTCATGTGATTTCGAAGCCAGGAATTCACCAACTGCTTTCTGGAGCAGAGAGATATCGTGCTTTTTGGTAGTCTGAAATTTCATTCACTGGCGTGGGCTCGTCTGCTCTTCGGTCCTCTTCGACGGAAAAGAAAGCCGTGTCGGGTCCCTTGTACAAATATTTGTAGAGATAGCTGAACACCTTGGCAGTGTAAACGACATCGAAATGGAAGTGGCAATCCATGAAGTCGAGTAAAGCGGGACAACCCAGCTGTCTTCAGGTTGTCTGCGACGCCAGTGCAGCCGACCATGATCATCAACATATGATGTAGTAGGTTGTATCTGCTGTGGAAAACCCAGTACTTTAACGTATGTTTGCGTATGCATTACCTAGCATTTGACACCATGCCGGCCTGTGCTTGATTCATTTTCTTGCCACCTATCCTTCAGCATGAGTCTCAAGTCTGCACATACACCAAGTTTCACCAAGACCCAAAGGCGTAGGGACAGAAGATCCTCAACCAATTACGTCTACCAAGCGCTCGTAGGGGCCAGCCAAGAACAAAGGCATTGTTCTACACAGTATATTGCTGTTGTCATTAAATTCATCAGGGTATAGTGATGCGATATATCTACATGAATGCGAATCGGTGACTACGTCTGAATGCTGCTCATTAATGTCTGTCGTAAGGTCATGTTCTGATCCAAAGGAATAGTAGATCAAGCCACAAAATTGGGAAGGTGATGCAAGAATAGAAGTCGCCTCATCTAGAGGCATTAGCAAGTTAAAAGTCAATAAAGGGGGTCGTGTGCTCTTCTAAGAGAGATCATAGCCCACCATACAAGAAGAGAAAAAATGGAAAGGCCAGTAAGGCCAGGAATGACCCCGAGAACGATTTTTCTACCCTGGCTTAACTGTGGGCCACTGCACCCATCTGTATATGCATCATCGCAGGGCATGCCCTGCGGTTTCTTGGAGTCATAAGCGCCCGCTTTCAGCGATGTGTAGAATGGGTCGGCAGTGTCGTTGAGTACGTGCATTGCAGCGAGTGTGAGCATCGGTGCATTGTAGTCCAATGCAACCTCAGTTTCTGGCCAGTCGGCGCGGATGTCGAAGAACCGATCGTACTTATCCGGACCACCGATAACGCCCCCATAAAGGACATAGGCTTCTTGCGGTGGGGAAGTATTGATGTCGCTTATGTTATTGCCACCGCTTGCCATCGCGGAGTGGGGATTTTGAGGCGAGTTCGGATTGGCACCGACAATATAGGGTGCTATGATAGAGTGAGCCAGAATGATAAAATTATATTATCCATGCTCACCTTGCATTGGATTGTTACCCAAAGCATAGTTGACTTGTGCGTTAGCATAGTTCTGTTACAGGTGATGGTTGAGTCCGACGTTGATTATTAGTGATCGGAACTAAGATCTCACCCAATAATCATTTCTCCTGCTTTGAGTCGATGCCAGTGGTACATATCGCGTTAACAGCATGGCGGCGTTCAACGACGGGTTTAAACTAGCATCGTCTGAGTCGCCCTTGTAGTATAGCAGTCCGCCTTCGAATAATGTTTAGTTGGAAAATGAGCAAACAGTTTTATTGTAGTACCGTGAGTTTGATATCCCGGTCCACCGCCATAAACTATTCCGTCGAAGTACTTCTCGGCCACAGTTTGCCAGGTGGATGCATTGCCGCCAAAGGTTGGGTTTGCTTGTGCAATCTGGGCAAACAGAACAGGCAGGCCAGGTGTCTTGTTATCCCAGTTGAATACTCCGTCATAAGTGCTGAGGCTATATTGCTGCCAGTAACCTTGAGCCTGTTGATACAACGAAGAAGAGTTGGTTGCCCAAGACAAGAAGAGTGCAGCAATGGCAAGCTCATCTCCATATCCGGACGAAGCGTACGCTTTGCCTACCTCAGGCACGGAATGTTGATATACTGCCTGTCCGCCAGAGGCGCTAGTGGCAAAGATAAAAAGTTGTTTGGCATGTTCGAGAAGGGTTGCAGCGTATGTTGCGTTTTGAAGTGTAGCTGGGCCAGAGTAAGAGTTCGAGAAAATGCGGTTGGCGTAAAGATTGGAGCAAGCTGCGAAAGCTGCAGCGGTTCCTGCAGCAGCATCCGTTCCAGGACTGAAACTGTGTTAATGAATGACTCGATGATACACGGTGCAAGAGTACCTAGTGTCGTTGATTTGATATGAAGGACGCGGTAAAGGAATGTTGCGATCGCCTCCCCAGTAGGCATTGTCAACTTCTTCTGCAGTCACGTGTGAGTGGAGAATGGACATCCAGATCAAACACTTACCATTGGCTACCTGGACAAACAAAGTATTGTTAGCGGGGTGCGCCTATGTCAATTATCATGAGTTGGAGACTCGATTGCTTGATACTTAAACACGAGACTGACTTTGATGAGCCAGTCAAGACTCCATCGGAGCATGTCATCAAGGTAAGGGGTTTGGTTTGCTAGATCGTATCCTGCACAACATTATTGGCGAGTGAGCACTTCCCCGATGTCGCACGAACCTTTTCCAAAATCCGTTGCACCCCAACAAATTGACATCACAGTAAATGACTGGAACTGAGTTGGAGGACTGACATATAGCATAAGCCGAGGAAACTCACCAGGGGGAAAGTGCATTTGATGTAGTCTGACGAAATTGTTGATATAGAGTAGCTGCATGATATACGGGACACTTACCACCTGCATCATAAAGCCCGCCAGTCAAATCCAACTTGACGTCCTGCCCATCGGTGAGGGCACTGTCGTTTCGCCACTTGACTCGATTTGTGCTAGGCAATTTGCCGCTGCGTTGTGCTTCATAGAAGTAAAGCAGATTTCCGAGCAACGAAGACCATTGCGAATTGGGAATAGCAGCAGAGGATGGAGACGCGCCAGCTGAAGCGTTTTGAGGCAGGAAAGGGGGATCAGGAAGAGGAACTTGGGCAAATGCCCGCGAGGAAGCAAGGAGAACGAGAACAAGAGGCGTCCGCATGAGGAGTCGTGAAATGAGATATACGCACCAAAGTCTTCCGGAATGTACAACTGACAAAGAGTCAGACAGTCAGCTCGAGCCTCGCGTTCAACCAAAATCACGTGACTTTGTAAAGCAAAGGCACGTGACTATGACGCTCCGGGCCGCAGACTGCCACAGGTTAACAACTCCCACTGGTTCAGTACTCATTCTCACATCATGGTCACACTCCAGACCTGCTCCAGATTCGGGCCGTCCACAAAGTTCTATATAAAATTCAAGAGGACATGATCTCAAGACTATCATACCTTCATCACTCTCATGGCGCTCAGTCCGATTAAGACCTGTGTCCTCGGCGTGGGTCTTGCTGGGCTCACGTTTCATGTTCCATTCGTACTCGCTTTGCCCGAACTCTTCACTCTTACCGCTGTCCTGGAGCGCAACCCACAGAATCCCGGAGGAAAGGTGCAGCAGCGCTTTGGAGTTACGACAAAAATTCACAGGACAGTCGAAGAGGTCGTGAACGACCCTGAAATCGAGCTTGTTATTGTAGGAACCCCAAATGACACGCATTACCCATTTGCCAAAGCTGCTCTTGAGGCCGGCAAACATGGTGAGCAAAATACTTCTTCCACGCAGAAACTGCTCTCAGCCACTTCAGTTCTCGTTGATAAACCTGTGACTGAGACGGTGAAAGAAGCAAATGAGCTTGCAGCCATTGCCAAAGCAAAAGGCCTTGTTCTCTATGGCTACCAAAATCGACGCTGGGACTCGGATCACCTCGCGCTGAAGCGCCTGCTTTCACTTCCTTCATCTTCGCCTCTCTCCCTTGGTAACCTACTGGAATTTGAGTCTCAGTGAGGACGATCGTTGATCAAACTAGCTTGATTTCCTCACCTTCCTTTAGCTATGATCGTTACCGTGCAGGGATACGGTCTTCCTGGAAGGATAGTGCGGGCGCAGTATATGATCTCGGTTCACATCTCCTAGACCAAGCTCTCAAACTCTTTGGCCGACCCGCGCAAATCACTGCGTTCATTCAAAATATCCGTGGTGTCACGAAACCGGAAGTTGATGACATCGTAAGTCCATTACCATTGCAGCTTTCTAGCAGCATTTTCAATATGTATTTGCAGTTCACTATCTATCTACACTACAATCCTGGGACTCTTTTCCCAAACCAGTTCACCGTGCTTCTCCGCTCGCACATCCTATCAGTGAAATCCCCTCAGCTACGCTACGCAGTACGCGGCACAAAGGGAATGTTCACCAAATATGGCCTCGATACGCAAGAGGAACAGTTGAAAGCGATGTCCTCTGTTAGCAGTATCCTTGAACCAAGTTATGGACTGGAGCCTGAGTCCATCTACGGCATCGTCGAAAATATCGCCGACGATGGCCGTAACGATCACAAAGACAACGTAATCGTTCTTTTCGCTCATATTTCATGGCGGCGCTGATGGTTGCCTATAGCTGGCCTTCAGATGCCCCGGGTCAGTATATTGGCCTCTTCAAGAACCTTGCTGGTGCTATCCGTAATAACGAGGAACTTGAGGTGAAGTGGGCAGAAACGACACAGGTGATCGAGATGATCGAATTGGCCTATAAAAGCTCCGCTGCAGGCCGCACTTTGGAGGTATCAAAGGTTTAGTTGATATCAACATGCACCTCATTATATACTTGTATCATAGAAGTAGTGCGGTTAAATTCCCTTCGGAGCTACAACATACTCTTGACAACAAATACCTGCGGTGTAAGTCAGACTCCTAATTGTGAACAACGCCTAGCATTGAACAATTAGTTGATCACGCTGGTATACTGTGACATCCGAGTACAGACTTCATTGACAATAATACTACAAGAATGGGTTTGATGTGTCTGATAAGATGAGAGTACAAATCTGTATAGACAGTTCTTGATCCCCGTTGGAGGTGTGCGTGATAATTAAGCAGAGCATCCCTGACCAAAATCGACTAGCGAGCAGTTCAATGACTATGTGCGAAGGGTTGAAAGTATCGATCAAGATCTGGGTGGGAGTCGGGGTTTTGACTCAGGATCAGATGTCCTTGACAACGACCGCCTTCGACAGCCAATACATTGCCAAATGAAAGTTGACTGACACCTCGAACGATGTTTATTCCAAAGAGTTTGACCGTATGGTCTACATGATTTGGAATTGCAAAAGATTTGCATAAGTACTGATATCATGTGTAGTGAGTGAGGCTAGATTCTAGAATGAAGATCAGGAGTTGATCAGGATTCAGGAGGTTGTTGATACTTGCGACACATAATACATGGGCAGCTGCGCCGTTCTCTTGGTTGAAGTTTTGAAGCTTGAAGCTTGAAGACTTTTCAGGTTGCGATGCCCAGCTACAAAGTATCTCGGGTACAGCCGCCCAACTGCCAACCTCTTGTGAAGTCTCGGGCACAAGTCGGGCAGAACCGTTGTCGTCGTTTAAGCGGACGATCCTGTATTACTGCTACAGCATGCAAATGAAATCCAGTAGTCACTTAGCCTGGTCCTAGGGTCGCTCACAAATCAAACTCAAACTCGCCACTGCCGCGGTATCATCCATGACTCCGAACTGCAGTGCCACGAACGCGCCGCCCCCAAATTCATTCGAACTGTCGTCGCTATTATAAGTACCTTAAGCGGGTTCATGGCGTCAGAACGAATCCTCGCGTCCCTTAGCTGTGATGCCGAACAAGCAAGCTTCTCATCCGATTCCCAGCTGTTGTGTTATGAGTCCAGGACCTGCAGGAAATATTTCGGACAGTCGGGCTCGCTGTAGCAATGGTACAGTTCAAAAGCTCTTGAAACAGTGTCAGAAAATAATCGTTCATTGTTTTCACCCACAGCTGCCGTCAAATGGATTCGTGGTGAGCTTATTGGTAGAGGGACTTACGGTCGGGTCTACCTGGCTCTTAGCATGACCACGGGCAAATCCCAACTAGTTGCCGTCAAACAAGTTGATAGTCCTCAAGCTATCCGAGACGAGAACGACCAGTGTCAAGCCACCTTCGTACATTCCGTCGAAAGAGTGAGCAAGCTACTGGTAGATCTGAACCATCGTCATATCGTCCAATATCTCGGGTTTGAAGAGTGCTTTGTAGATCATTCAAGGGTGATGAATATGTGAGTTTCTAGCAATGTGGCCACTTGGCAGTAATGACTCAAACCTATGACATAGCTTTATGGAGTACGTGTCGGGAAGTGCATTAGGCTATTGTCTTCGTGAAAAGGGCAGGTTCAGCGAGGATGTCTCAAAATTTTTCATGCTCCAAATACTTCGAGGTTTGAGATACCTCCATTCGCGACGAATAATCTACCGGGTATGTGACCGATTCGGCCTATCTGAAACGTTTGAAAAATTCTCATTAATTTTGGTCAGAATCTGAAAGCCGATAGTGTCCTACTTGAGAGAGATGGGAGTTGCAAGCTTTCTGATCTAGAGTTTTCCACTATGGAGGATAGAATACATAAACTTCCATTCACCAGCGTGCAACGAATACTACCCTGGATGGCACCTGAAGTCATCTGCCATCAAAAGGAAGGGTACAGTGTCAAGGCCGATATTTGGAGTCTGGGATGCGTCTTATTGGAAATGCTGACAGGAAAGCGACCCTGGTATGAGGATGAACTGATCATGGTCACCATTAAAGTCTGTCTTGTACCTTTGTATTACAGGAGCATTACTTATATTCTGTACGCAGGTGAAACAAAACAAGCGCCCACCCATCCCTCCTGAAGTTACCTTGTCAGATCTTGCAATGAATTTCCGGGATTTATGTTTTGCAATGCAAGTTATTCAAGTCCGTTCGGATGATATCACTTACCTTATAATCTTGCAGCAATCCTGACGAACGCGCATCTGCTTCGCACCTGAGACGACATCCCTATCTTGAGCTTCCGGATGATTGGAAATTCCGGGGTTTTAATGGTTAGGGAACACTCTAGTTATTGTGCCCTTCTGTTCATGTACTTTTCGTGGACTTCGTTCCCACTCTTATGGACCGTGGTAATGTAATTGACTGGGAGAGGAGCTAGTATTTGTACGGGACTGGCACAGTACAGAATGCCTCGGTTCAACATCAGCACGATGCAAACCTGTCCTCTTGACGTGAACAACACACGCATTATTCGTGAATCTACTATATAGTACATCAAGATAGAGCCTGATGTCATGCGGACTTGACACGAAGCCGTTGTCTCCGATTTTGAAAAAGCGTCAGTATGATCACGCAAGTAGCAGGAACGAGTTTTCAAGGGCGAGAGTATACACAAGACGGACATATCGACCTAGTGGAGCATAATTGAATACATTAACAGGCAATGCGTGCAATCATGATCGGGTAGCACATGAGTTTTGTCCACCCCTTGGCCACTCTTAATCACGATCTGCAATCCACAGCTCACCGTCGTGATACATGTCCAACCAACCTCTTGAGAGAGTCCACGAAGGACTGAAGTGTAGCAGAAAAGCGCTGTTCTGGTCCGAAGCCTCATGGATCGAGCTCGGATAGTGCACGCGCCAGACCTATTCAGTACCGCAATTGCGCGGCTGGACACACGAATAAAGAAATGTGGTGCAGTTGCCGTTCGATGTCGGATAGAATAGACAAACATCGAACATGGCACGCGCAAGGAATTGCCTAACGCTAACCATGCACATGTGCCCACGATCGTATTTGAAGTATCATAGATGCCCAATCGTAGAACCGACATCAAATGCGTCACACTTGCCGGATGTATGTCCACCCGGCAAGGGAAGCGAGTTTGATGTAGTGATCTATGTCCAATCCAGCGTAGAGGAGCGCAGATCATCGCTACGCCATGACGACTTGCCCTGGAGTACAATTTGATATTCAAATAAGGCATGTGTCTATATTAATCAGACGACACCGTGTATGACTTCTAGCTGTCTTGTGGATCATTATGATCAGAGGTCCAGATATGCTGGAGACACTGGGAGGAACGGTGCGATGACACCTATCAAGCAGGACGGGAGACGCTAGCCATTCAAGTATTCAGCCCACAGAATGCACGCAAAGAACGTCGCATCAAATACACTCAATGCAGGACAAATGCCTTCGCCCAGACGAACTCGACCCCAGCCTTCTCATCGTCCTTGTTCTGAGGTGATACCATCAGCATAAGTTCCCAATAGGAAAAAATTCCAGGCGAACCACCTGACATGTCGTCAAGGCATAAGCGACTCAACAAGCCTTGTCATCCTCCGTAGTTACCAGCACGATATCGTGCAATAGCAACATTCAGCATCATGCCCAAATTGAACTGAGTCATTTTTGCGACCCAAGCGAATGGGATGCTGCAGCTAGAAGAACAGACATAGAACCAGATAAGAATACATTTATGTTCATGATATAAAAAGCCATACCTAAAAACAAAGAAGGCCAGTATATCCAGCGCTTCATCAGCAGGTGGGTCCGCCGCAAGTAGGGAGCCAAACAACACCAAGCGCAAGACTAAGACAGTGTCGGAGAAGTATCAACAGCTTTTGAATGATAAAGTGACAGCAACAAGAACAACCAGAAAGTGTTAGAACCTGTCATAGTGACAGCTCCCGACGCGATTGGCCGGCCTTTCGAACGGTCTTCTTCGCGTCAAGAGACTTATCGACAGTCATTGGCAGGACAGAACCAAGACGTACCAACTTTGCAGTCGAAGTCTCGGTCAAGTATGTCATTTACGACACACCCTCTACAACGTATAAAAGTGTTCAACAATGGATAAAACAGCGTTTTCTTGCGATTTCGTTCAATGGTGAATACCACTGTGCGATAGGCTGGCGACAAGAAGCCCCAAGCTAGGCATGATGTACTTATGAACACCGAATGAGTACGCCGCATCAGGAACTTCCGTCTTATCGAAGAACAAAAATATAAAGTCGCTTCCCACTCGAAGCCAGCGGAGCCTGAGCTTGAACAATGCCTTGCCTTGGAGTGCATCGCAACAAGTCTCAAAGTCTGGACTTGATTGTCAAGGGACACCAGCAATGCTTATTCTTATGCCCCTGTACGATGGCTCGTTGAAGTGCTGACCTTGGCGTTGGTAGGCTCAGAAGCCACACATAATGGCCTGCTTGAAGGGCTTCGAGCTTCTCACATAGTTGTGTAAATGGATCAGTGCCCCTCTCAGTCTATTTGAAATAGTTCAGCGAATTACCTTCAACTTGTTCTTCAATCGTTTTTATGTCCGTATAGTGGGGTATGTTAATTCAGGATGTGGTATGACTGGCGAGAGTCAATTTGATGGCGCAGTACGAGGGCAGAATAGAAGCCCATACCTGATGATATTTATATCCGGATAATAATAATGTATGTGAATCACCTCCTTGGTGGGCCCATGGAGACCCGCAACCAGTAGAAATGAGCAAAAAGAGAGACAGAAATTACTCACTGGTGAGAGAAAGAAAAGGGTACTGAAGAGGAAGGAACATGAATATTAATGTTGCATGCATGCGGGGAGTCAGTGACTGCGGACGCGTTAAAACTTTACCTAAAGCACTCTCCCTGCATGTGAGCTGCAAGTCAAAGACGTATGTTGCGCGCATGGCATATGTACCTGCAATGTGCACTGTTCAGGACGTTGTACAAGTTGGAGGATTCAGCAGACATCGACTCGGAGTCAAATCAAAATTATCAAATGAACTTCAAGAATCAAGCCAGGCCCAGAGACACGCACTTGAGTCACGTGGACGAGTTCCACGTATGACTTAGCCTAGTATGCAACTACCATCTCATCACTTGTCACCACCACCACAATGATGACCGAGTCCCTCGTCGCTGTTCGCATCGAGCTTCCCACTTACTCTCTTTCGTTTACTGTTAAGGTTGCTATCTCCGCTACCGTACTCGATGTCAAACATGCAATTTCAGCGTCTTGCGTTGGACAGCCCCGTGTCGAGGGACAGCGCATCATCTGGAGGGGGCGCTACCTCGGGGACCAGGAGAAAATTTCTGATATATGGAAGGTAATGGGGAATCTATGACTTCTGCGAACAACATCTGACCCAAGTTTCAGACGGCAGATGAGCAACGCACCGTCCACTTATCAGTGCACCCCTCCGGTTGGTCTGGTGCTCCCCCATCTTCTAGTGCAACGGCAACCGCAATACCTATATCCGACAAAGGGAAATCTCCCTTATTACAAAGAGACGTTCCTTCCAACGCTCCCTCGGCGCCACCCGGGGTGCAATCTCATCCTTTCGCACATTTACCCCTGGAGCACCAATTCATTGCTTATATCCATCAGGCTGCTTTATCAAAGCTCACTAGGGGACTCATCGAGCACCCACAATACTCAGTAATTCCATCTCGCATAGTTGCATTGGAGAATCTTGAGAAGAAGGGATACGTTTGGCCTTCAGTCCTGGATGAGCAATACCCTTTCTCTCAGCATGGTGACGGCTCTGGACTGCGATACGAATTGATGACGACTGAGTGAGCCAAATTTTGCGCATAGTGAGATGTGCTCCAATTAATGATCATTAGTGGCAAGTCATATCTCTCCCTCCGCAACCCAGGTTCAAGGCCTACCGTTGAACAAGTACATGCTCTGAAGGTCTTGACCTATACGTTTTCAATATTGTGTCTTCAACCATTACCTCAACAATCGACACCAACGCCGACCACTTCTTCCAACGAGACTATACCGCATCAATTAAACGACCTCCTCCAGCAGCTCGGCCTTCCCACACTTCGTGCTATCCCGAACGTTAATGTCGATGTCGACGTTAATGGTCAGATGGGCGTTGGAGCGAACGTCCCAGCACCCGGAGGTGAAGCCCAGATACTTCCAGATATCCCGGTCCGTTTACTACTGGCCCCCTTGGTGATGGTATTATTTCGGACTTTGCTCTTGCTGTACTTTTTCTCCCCAGCACGCAAGCCGCTCTTGGGCTTGTGCATCATCGCCTGGATAATATATGAGATGTGGACGAATGTGCGGAACGTTGTACTCGGACCATTCAATCGGGAGAGGGAACGCTTAGCTGGTGTTGCTGCTGCCGCGGAAGCTGCAAGACAGGCTCCAGGTCAGGGTCAACTTGGAGGTCCCCCAGCGACTCCTGCACCTTCTACACCTCCTGCCCAGTCTGACATACCAACGCCTGCACAAAATCAAGAAGCGCAGGGTCCTCCGCCCCCCAGCAACTCTACCTCTCTTCTGGAACTCCTTGCGCGCATAGGCATTGATACAGAGAACAAGTCACTCTGGCCAACGTCTTCATCACGCACCCCTTCTTCACCACCGAGTCTGATGCACAAGGTGACAACCTTCGTAAGTTTGCTTGTGCTGACTCTCCATCCGGAGGTATGGAATCGTAGGCGTGCAGCGCTAAGGATAAGAGAAGGACGTTTGCGAACAGAAGCAAATGTAATGGAACGAGAGGTCGAGAGATCGGAGGGCCAGGAACTGAGTGAAGAAGACAAAAAGAGGGAGGAGATGACAGCTGTGTTACAAGTGCAGGATGGAAGGCGCTCTCCTTGGGTGAAAACTTATATTCAGCGTGTCGGAGGCGGAGAGTGGGTGGATGATCTATAGCAAATTATAATAATTGGATATTTATTTTGTTCTGGGTTCACTTTGCACGGCCAGCTCCCAGTCTGCATTCAAACGGTGTGCATACTGGATTAGATGCTAAGTAGATCATCTAGATGTGCAAGGTGCAAAGCGAATGTATATTATTCACTTTCATCGTCCTCTTCGTCGTCCTCGAATTCCTCTGCTTCATCATCAATGAACCCGTTTAATGCAGGTCCTTCGCCGTCTGAATCTTCTTCTTCCTCATCACTCACCTCTTCATCCGTTTCCTCAGCTTCACTTTCACCGCCGAGCTCTATATCCTCTACACTTCCTTCATCCTCTCCGCTCTCCACACCGGCTTCCATGCCCTCCTCCTCGCTCTCGCCTTCCACGTATCTTGTTGGCTGCCTCTCGCCTTGTGATGTTGTAGGAACCCCGTTCTTATGAGGTGCAAGCAGTGCTGGTGATGTGGAAGAACGCATCTCGATCTGTGAGAGTACCATGTCTAGTCGGCCATTTAGTGAGAGGAGGGAATCTTGTAATGCCAGCCGGGAAGTCAGTGTCGCGTGTAGACCTGAGAGCCGTGAAACGAGGTCGGGCATCTATAGATGAAATTTAAATTAGTTTGTAACGTGTACAAGGAGCAGTTTTTCTTTATTTCGAAAACGTACCGTCATAAGATGACCGCTATGGACCGCAAGTACGGTCTTGACCCATGTAACAAGTCCAATTCCGCGTTGCGAACTGGCACCACCACCACCACCTTTCATGTTTGCTGCGCGTGGACCACGACCGAGACGCTCTACGCATGCCGTGAGCAACGGTACAGCCAGCTGGGGCGGTAATCGCCGCACGGTATTCCGTACCATTGCTGGGTCAGAATGTGCAAGACAAGTCTCAAGCAGTCTCGAATCAGACGAGTGGAGCGCTTGTATAAGTGTCCGGGTAAGAGAGTGTGCAGGTATAACGTTCGGCGTGTCCTGCTTTTGTTTTCGTGATGATTGGAGTTGTTCCTCTTCAGAGTCTGATGAGGAGGGGCGTGCGTCACCTGAAATTGCGGCGAGACGCTGGCCTAAGGAGAGCTCTGCAAGATCGGCATTTAGTGCGCCCTCGATCTGAGATGCGGCAAGGTCTTCCATTGCTTGATCTTCCCCGAGCTCGACGCCAGAGTGTACCGCGAGAGATGAGGGCTCGGCGTACCGGGCATTTTTGGATGCGGACTATAAAAATATATATCAAGTTTTTGTTTTTTGTCGTGGTGTTAGATGCGTACAGTAGATGCAGGTTCTGAGTCTATGAGGACTTCATCTTGAGCGGTCTGTGATATCGACGGCTTGGCTTTGCGCGAAGATGACTTAGTGCGCGCTTTTTTGGATGGGGGGACACTTGACATGGCCGTAATCCTTTTTAGCTGTTCAAACAATTTTTAGGACAATCCAGGAGAGTAATATGAGCTCAGGCATATACCTGAAGTTGATGGACGAGGAGAAACAAATATTCTGCAAGTCACGTGCTAGCTAATACTTTCTTGCACTTCCTAATCGGGAGCAAGAGAAAACGCCAGGATTCTGGAAGAAGTTCGGTCTCACTTATTCCTCGAGCGAAGGCACCTCGTACTACTAGGAAGTCGGCACTCACGCTCGCCTGATAAAACCGTCCGTTTTCTGGGATTCGCTGTCTATCGTTGTGTAAAAAAGGGACAGGAAGGGCCTGCTTACGATCTTTTCATCTGTTACGTTCTACCGTTCTACCACTATCACCCCAGGTAATCAGCTGCAGTGGCGGGACCAACGATGAACTACATTCAGGTAAACTCCTTGTCGTTCTTTTAACATGCAAGCTGACATAAAGTAGTTAGAGAAACTTGGTATGATCTGTGATGTACGATATCGGGGATTGTACCCTAACCATTGCTTATACAGGCGAAGGTACATACGCCACGGTTTACAAAGTACGTTACAACAGCTTCTCCTTAATATTTCTTTGAAATTCATATGAGTTGTAGGGTCGTTCGCGAACGACCAATGAGATCGTCGCGCTCAAGGAGATACATCTTGACGCAGAGGAAGGGACACCCTCCACCGCCATCCGTGAGATTTCCCTCATGAAGGAACTCAAGCATGTCAATATCGTCCGCCTCCACGATGTTATACACACGGAGACAAAGCTTGTCCTTATCTTCGAGTATTGTGATCAAGATCTCAAGAAGTATATGGACCAACACGGCGATCGCGGAGCGCTTGACCCTATGACCGTGCGAAGTTTCATGTACCAGCTCCTCAAGGGCACATCGTTTTGTCATGAGAACAGGGTCTTACATCGGGACCTGAAGCCTCAGAACCTTCTTATTAATCGCAAGGGGGAGCTGAAACTTGGTGACTTTGGTCTCGCACGTGCATTTGGCGTGCCGGTGAACACATTCTCAAACGAGGTGCGTTCGTGTAAGTGAGTCTCCCTGGGACACAGCTGAGGGTGTGGAGTTAGGTCGTCACACTATGGTATCGTGCACCAGATGTACTTCTTGGATCACGCACGTACAATACATCGATTGATGTGTGGTCCTGCGGTTGCATCTTCGCGGAGATGATCTCTGGAGTGCCCCTTTTCCGTGGCCGTGACAACCAGGACCAGTTACTTCATATCATGCGCATCGTCGGCACGCCGGACGATCGAGTTCTGAGGAAGATAGCGACTGAATCGGTGAGATCCCTTGACTATGACGAGAAGTGGAGAATCCTCATTTTTCTTCCAGCCCGAGATTACCCTAAAGCAATACCCAAGATACCCAAAGATTTCCTTTGCCCAAGTGCTTCCTAAGGCCTCGCCACAAGGTGATTAATGGGGCCTGATGATTTGTTGGGCCTAGACTGACTGCAATGCAGCCCTCGACTTACTTGAACGTCTACTTCAATTTGATCCTGCCAAGCGTATGACGGCCACTGAAGCCCTTTCGCACCCTTACTTTACCTCCACGGTGGCCCCTACCTACGGCCCAAGTTCGACTCCAGGGTCGATGCCACCGCCTCAGTTCAATTTTCCTCATCCTCATGCCCATGCACAGCAACAGCAACAACAACAACAGCAACCCCACAATCCAATCCCTCCAGCAGGGTCGTCGTCTCAAATTTCAATAACCCCGTCGTCAGTTTATCCACATGGCCAGCAGCAGCCCATGTATAGCAGTCAGGACGCTGCAAGGATGCAGGCGCAAGTTCAGGCCCAGGCCCAGGCCCAAGCAATGGCTCAGGCTCAGGCTCAGGCACATGCCCACGCACAAGCTCATATGAATCAACAGGTCGCGCCTGGATACCCTGGAGGGTTTCCTGCGCAGTATCAGCAACATCCACGATAGTGCTGCAAAGCTTTCTGGTGGTGTAGAAATTGTTTTATGTATTTGATGTTTCGCCCCTTTTTTCATACGCATTGTTCCTGTTATATGTATTGTCACCTCGGGGATAGAAGAATGTTGTAATCACTAGTCTTGTAACACAGATGGCACGTTTCGTCCACGGGGAGGAATCTACGTTGGTTCGATTGAAAGTGGGCTAGGTGGCTTTACAAGGAGAGGTTCCAAAAGCGAGTTGCCCTAGCCTGATCTTGAACACCAGGCTAGCCTGGCTACTGCGGACTCTCAGGCTGGAGGATCATTGAAATTAATCAAGATACGACCCTTGAAATGAATAGTATGCCCCCCTTAAGTGTCAGGCGGAGTACACGTTTGACTGATCCGAGAAGAACAACACGCGACATTTTATGAAAGGGCTTTGAGATTATATGTTTCCGGCGATCGAAGCTTGAGCGAGGTTGAACAAGAAAGGTAATCACACGCACGTGGTTACGCGTCTTTTGTTTCTAAGCCTTCGGTGCCTTGCCAAAAGTTTACCAAGTGGCTCACGACTATAAAACAAACTCACACATCCAGTATAACACATATCTAACAAGCCCCATTGATCACTGTCCTGAACAGCGAGGATCATATAATCTAGAGTAATGTCTACATTCGACAGTCTTATTCAGGACTTAACTCGCGACGTATGTCGAGTGCAACCTAAAGACGCCCTCCAGTTCTGCGCTAGTTGGTTTCAGTCTCGGCTGGAAGAACAGCGGACGCGAATACGAGACGTCCTACACCAACGTGGTCTCTCCACAGCTCATGAGCTACCATCCGAGTTCTATCTGGACTCCCCTGTCAATATCGCCCCTCGTAACTCCACGCCCACTCCCATTTCTCCGTTTTCCCAGGTCCCTCAGCGTCGTGCGTCCTCCCTCCATGCGGGTTTCTCGCACAGTCCGTTTGGGACTCTTAATGTGCCAGGAAATGCGCTTTTGTCCTTGGACACAAATGGTGCTCCCAATGGCATGCTCGCCCCGACATTCACCCTCGATGGACGTGAATTACCCCCAACCTCCCCGCTAACCACTGATCCCAACTCATTCGCACGGTATGATGTGTCTTCAACGCCGACCATGTCTAATTCGCTCTCTCTTGGCCTTGGAGATTATCTCCATGCACCATCGGCCACTATACTGGCACGCCGTGTGTCAGTCAGTGCTGAGCCTATCGCAGTAGACAGTGATCACGACGATCCACTCCCCGTATACCCCAAGACGGCTGACCAACTTCGCCGCATAAAATCATCCATTGCAGATAATTTGGTTTTCCGTGATCTCGATGAGGAGCAGGAGACTGGCGTGCTCAATGCAATGCAGGAGCACAAGCTTGCCGCAAATGATGTGATTATTCGGCAGGGAGATGTAGGAGAATACTTCTACGTTGTCGAATCAGGACTCTTCTACTGCTACATCCATCCTGGACCGCTACCCCCGACTTGGCTAGCGGATGCGGAAAACCACGCCTCGCAGCCCGAAAAATTCCTCCAGCCGGGGTATCATCCCATGTTTGGTCGGAAAGTTTCAGAGCGCATACCTGGAACTTCTTTCGGCGAGCTTGCATTGATGCATGGTCATCCACGAGCGGCGACCGTGCAGGCAATTGAGCCCTCCACTGTCTGGGTTCTTGACCGTATCACTTTCCGCACAATCATTCTGAAAGCGGCTCACAGGCGCAGGACGATGTATGAGCAGTTCCTCTCCAGTGTCCCCCTTTTGTCCTCCCTTGAGCCGGGAGAGTGTAGTAAAATAGCAGACGCCCTGGTCAGCAAAGTATATCCTGATGAAGAAGCGGTTCTTCGGGAAGGGGAGATGGGAGATACTTTCTTCTTCGTAGAGGAAGGCGAGGCCATTGTCACTAAGACGCAACGAGGAGAGGAGGGTGAGTACCGCCAGATCACAGTGGGTCGGCTGAAAAAGGGTGATTATTTTGGCGGTGAGTGATTTGTTGTTGTTCTCCATTAGTTCTTAAATAGCTGACGTTCACATCTCAACAGAGCTATCTTTGCTCAGACTTGAGCCCAGAGCGGCGACAGTGAGTGCGGTGCGTCGGACAGATGCGACGCAGCCGAAGTTGAAGGTTGCGGCGCTGGACGCGCCTGCATTCACACGACTGCTTGGGCCTCTTCGAGAGATAATGGAGAGAAAGGCTGGGGAAAGCTATGGTCTTTCATCCAGATTAATCCATTGACGAGGGAGTTTTTGGTGTATTCTTTCTTGACATTATATACCCACGTGTCTTATAGTGAAATTATTGTATCCTCAATGTGATTTATCGTCGTTAGGCGCCCTTTTTTAAAAAACTCGGCAGGCTGTCATTTACGTACTCGTATCCCTCCAGTCTTATGTTTCCCCGTCTCACTGACCCTCCAAGTTGACGTCGACACTATTGTTTCTGTTTGAGTTGTGATGCCAACGATGGCCCAGGATTGTAAAAAGTGATCAGCCGCTGAAATTTTGAAATTGGTGGTATTATGTGATGGATTGGGAAGCTCCTTGAACTTGATCGTCATCGTTTCAACAACAACTAACTTCATCACAGTCTTTTCTCTTTCTTCTTTCTTCATTAGTCAAACTGCCACCTAGCCAAAGCTTTGCTGTCAGCTTGCTTTCAAAGGAACTAACAACCAAAATTTAAAGAAAGTGTCTCATCTACACACTCACTCGAATCACCGCTCATTTCTGTTAAATCAACGACAACTGCTCATGGATGCACTCCATACTCATTTTGTCCGACGGAATGGATGTGAGCTTTTTTTTCCATCTTGAAGTGATATTCTGACACCCTCAGCAGTCGGAGGCTTACTGTAAGACATCGTTCGTTTTGCAACAGTGAGCTGCTAGCTAAAGTAACACCAGTGGTGGAAATGGCGCCTCGACCTTTGGCACCACAATATCACCCGAGAGCCCTCTTGATGTATTTACTAGTGCTTTGGGCAGCATGTTCAGTGGCGGGGCAACTACCACTTCTACGTTGGGGTCTTCTATCATATCTATGAGTCAACTCCTGACCCTTCTGCTCTTCTAGCTTTCCTAGCTCTTCTACCCCTTCCACCTCTTCCATCACTACCAGCCAACAATCCAGTTCTACTAGTACCTCCATTCCTTCGTAAGTTACACATATATTGCAAGTCGTGTCAGCAGACTAATCGGTTCAACCCCCAGCACGAGTACCCCCTCGCCAACATCTACGTCGGTAACTACACCCAACTCTACACCTATTCCTGTGCCTACTCCCACACCCACACTTGCATCCGCACCCACATCGTCTGCTTCTCTGATCGTCTTTACTTCAACCTCCGGCACTAGCATTATCTACGTGACTAGTACCGCGTCCAGTCCAGCGTCTACCATCGCTGCAGTTCCTCAGTCATTCTTCCAGAACAAGCCTCTGGAGGGTGGGGTGTTCGCCATAGTTGGAATCGTTATCATGATCATCATGTTCGTCATCATCACATACACTATCCGTCGTCGTCAGCGCAATCGTCTTGAGAGCGACATCGCCGATGCTATCACGTTTGATCCGGTCGTGAGGGAGCACTACGGAGATGAGGAGAAGGGAACGAACGCTTTTGAAAAATACAGGTTTAGTAGCAGTTCTTCAGGTCATGGCCATGGCTATGGGTACGGTCCTCAGCCTGCATATGCGCCACCGGCCGTTCCTCAGTACGGTTACTACGGCTCACAAGGATATGAACAGCAGGCAACTACTTATCATGTCCCTCCCCCTCAAGGCCCCGTCTATAACCTCGACAATGCAGTTAACACAGGTGGCGCTGTTGATTCGAGTGGCGCGGCCGATACGGTTAGTTCAGCCAGTACGAGCGGTGCCAACCTCACTCGCAAATATTCAAACCGAAAACCTGTTCCACCTCTCCTGCCAAATCCCGTCTATAACCCATCTCAATCTCCGGTTCTTCCCTCGCACTATTACATGCAGAACCAAGATGTCCCGATCTCACCAATTTCTCAATCAATGGATATTTCTGTACCCCCTGGTGATCTGCCGACTTCTGCGCTACCTGATGACTCGGAGGACGATCCTTACACAGGAATGGTCGAGGCATGTTGTTTTTTTTTTAACTTTCACAACATACTTAAACATGGGTTTGCAGGTTGTCGATCACTAAATATACCCCCGTGCTTTTTTTCCCGATACCCAAATGTCAGTTGTGTTGGTTTCCTGTCCGACTATGCTCCCTTGCCTTCAAATTGTTTCGAGCAGCGCTCGTGTTTCTGTTTTTTATAGTTTCAATTAATCAACTTTGATGTGCCGTGCCCATCAGATGTTGTTGATTCTTGTTGAGCTGTCATGTAGGCGTAGGGTGATCAATCACCCATTCTAGACTGCTGTTGTTGTTCTCAGTATCATTGTATCTATACTGTTTTTTTTATTTTTGCATGAATCAGAAAGTTTTAGAGTATGGCTGCTTGATCGAGAGGACACGCAAAGAACTGTAAGTCCTTATTGCTCGTCCTTCAAGGGCTTGTCTATTTCGACGGGGTTCGGATTGTCCTCTCTCACTTCATGCTTCATTGCTTTTCCTTTTGCCAAACGCTGTTCTCGCCGCTCCAGGTACCAGACTAGCCAAGTCACTCCCAATGTTGCTGCGCACGTGCAAATCATTGCGATCATACCCCTCTTGAAACGGGGCGCATCCGTAGCAGGGTAGAAGAGGAGTGGCCACCAGGCATTAACCGCGTTGTTCCACATGCTTGATGTCCAAGTCAGTTTCACAGCAGGGATTCTTTCAAAAAATCACTTCATGGAGGCAAGCACAATAGCACGCTCTTGATAGTCATCTGCACATATCTGGTTTGCCCAACTGCAGAACAATCAGTTCAGCATGAGTCAACAGATAGTTGCGAGGGTGTAGCTGACGCAAATGTGGTAGCTTGTCCGGCATACGAGGCTCCTGCAAAGTCTGAGAGGGACGAACTAAGTTTGCAAAACGGTAGCCTCAGCAGAGACCACGAACAATATGCGAAGAATTTCAACCCCGTTGGACTACTCCACACAAGGACACAGATCGCAGCGACTGTGCAGCAGAAGCACATGTACACGAGCACGGGCCATCTTGCTCGTGTGTAATCTGTCCAAGTAGCGCAGACGAGCGTGGATGCAATTCCGAAAGCTGTGACTCCACTCGGGTAGTAATCTAATAAACGGATCAGGGAAAGAAAGATGCAGACACGTAATGTACCCACCAATTTGTTCGACTGTATAACCGCCTATGGCAGACAGCCACTGGCCCATCAGATTGTTGGAACCGAAACTTTCAGTCTCTCCTGAGATGGCGAACTGTACGAACTGTGTTTATCCATACTCGTCGAGTAACGGAAGATGCTTACGAGGAGACTACATCCGTACCAACGCCAGCGGCTAAGCACTCTCTTCGCAAGATCCCAAGAGAGACTATGATGGACAACATCCGAGTCGAGACGGTCTTGAGAGAGAGCCCGTTCCTATGGGGAAGATAAATACAGCTGAGAAACGGATGTTGACATATCTCCAAAAACATACCTCTTCACTGAGATAAAATGCTTTGGTGGTCGATGGCACATCAGGGAAGACGAGAAAGCCGTAAAGTGCAATCGGGAGCGTGATTACACCATCGATTATGAACCTAAATTGAATGGTTCTCTGAGCGCTAGCGCTCCGATCAGAAATCTGGGGACGCTTACAGCCACCGCCATCCACTTCTTCCGCCGACGCCTCCAAGATGTCTCATAAAACACTGGTTTGAAATCTTCGGTCTTGGTGAAAAACATGACATCTTACTGGTAAACGGCTGCTTGAAGCACACCAGAGAACCTATCGAATGTCAGCAAAATGAACGAACGTCGGATGATTACCTTACAGTGTCCCAGCTAGACCAGAACTCGTGAAAATACCCGAGCGCTTCCCCAATTCGCCAGATTTATACCATCTTCAAGAAGCGTATAAGAGAATAAGAGAATGTTCCTTGAAGAAATGAAGCACACTGACGATCCAAGAATATAGTGCGTGCCTACGAAGGTCGATGCTTCTGATATGCCTTGGAAGAATCTGATAGCGTACAGCTATTTGCGGAAGCGGTTAGCGGGGAAACAATGTCATGCAGGGCCTTACCTGTTGAACGTTATGGACGGTACTTGAACTATGTCATCAAATTTATCAATGCCGTGCTTGTTGCGTTCTCGATAATCGAAACGAACCAGAAGGTGAGCACACCCCATACTATCTGCATCGATGGAAACCACAATCTTGGTGGGACGACTTGGAGCATCAAGTTATCTGACAAGCATTGAATAGGGCACCTCGGGTAACATAATTGCTCAAGGCCTACTGGGAATCATCCCGACAATGTAGCCGCACGTAAAGATCGTATTTATTTTCTGCGGAGGCGCTCAGAGAAACCTCCCTGAAAACACATATATGGAGTACGTACATTGAAGTCATTTCCTTGCATGTTGAGTTCTTGCTTCATCCCGGATACATATGCATTGTTTACATTTGCTCGATCAAGGTCTGGTTACGAGAATTATGTCAGAGACAGCTACCCGGATATATGAAATGGTAAGAACGCTAAAGCGAAAATGCCTCAGGTCTGGAGAAAGTTTCGCTGTGACTATACCACCGAAGACTAACGTCGCGATCGTAATGCATTCAAAAGCTTCCTGCATTAGAAACATGCAACATGCCCGATGTGACAAAGGTAAACAACGTAAAACTCACAGTTCGTGAAATACTACCACCGCAGTGACGTGTTTGCAATCAGCGTTTTCTCAAGATCAGATATCAATCGATGAAACATACCATAAGACAACAATAAGACAAAATGAACCAGTCCAATTTCAAAAGCAGTTTTTGCTCCAACTTCGAGGAGGGTACCTCTCCCCAGAGGAACTGCCTGATTGTTTGCCAACGCATTTTGCAGGATGGTCGGGTTGGCTTTCGAAGTCAGCCTTTGAACGGCGAACTGAACACGATAGGATAGACGCCATAGGGAGTCAGCCTGAGATGATAATGGGAATGCTATATTTAGCTGTCGATTTAAGCAGGTCACACCCGGATGGCATCGAAGTTAAGTGCGTATCTCTGCAGTAAAAGATATAATTAAAAGGCTAGACTGATGGCTTTGCTCGTATACGGATTAGCATGATGAAATATCATCAATGTGGCACAATGAAACCATCATACCAATAAGTGAGCCATCAGAAAACACGCAGCATGCTGGGCCCGTAATAGTATTGTCCTGACAGCACCTCGGCATTGACCGTAGGATTAGATAGTCATCCGACCACGGCAGGGCAGTTCCGCTGCCAGTTCTGATGGGGAGCAAACCTATGTTGTGGCATGGGACCCGCAGCCGCAGCCCAGGGCGTCATTCGCGCCAACGCCTAGCGGGCACCTAACATTATATATCATGGTATGTGATACTAGTGAAACGCAGCGCTGAGATGTGGCAGTGTGTTACATGTACGTTTGCATACTAATCACGTGAGCACTATACACAAAGTAGCTCATTGCAGAAAAGAGATCAAAAAACCCTTTGTGGGCCTCGTCACTGGCAACTGCCATCATAGTACGGTAATCAATTTAGCTACTCCACCGTGACACGACCGAGATCCCCACCGTTTACACTCAGCACCAAAGGCCCCTAGCCCTATCCACAGACTGCAACGACGGCTCGCCTCATAGACAGACTGGCTATTAGTTTGAGACTTTGGCTCAAGTCTACTAATATGTAGGTTATCCCCAGAGCGGCCATTTACCAGATGTGTCACACTGTAATACCCACTATCTAACGGCAGCGAGAAACTCGTCACCGGGTGGGCGGTGTTTGGCAACAGGTGCTACTAGCGCAATGTACCAAAGGGTACTTAATGATATTGATGATCTTTTTTTGTTCCATTTCAGACTTTTTTAATAATAATGAAGCCTCGTAATGGACTCAGGCTTAGGTCATAGATAAGATGGTCAGTATAAAACTCCTTTCATCTCGTCCTGCAAGCTTCACTACAATCCCACTCTCAAGTTGATCGTCCTCTCCTAGTACTAGATCATGTTGGCTCTCACCAACGTCGCTGGACTCTACCTATGCCTTGTTTGTGTCGGAGTATATCTACTTAAGCAGGTGTTCAACAAGAAGAATCCTCCATATCCCCCTGGCCCTCCGGGGTGGCCTCTCATCGGGAACATCATGGACATGCCCTACATCAGGCCCTGGCTCACCTTCACAGAGTGGGGCAAGAAGTATGGTAAGTGTTTCTTGTTTCACACGATCTTGCATCTCAACGTCTTGTCGACAGGTGACATTTCGCATATCAATGTTCTGGGTCAACACATCATAGTGCTGAACTCTGTCGAGACTGCGATGGACATGCTGGACAATAAGGGCGCTATTTACTCTGACCGTCCTATTCTTACTGTTGGCGGCGAACTTGTTGGCTGGAAAAATGTTGTAACTCTCCTCCCTTATGGCGACCATCTACGCCGGCACCGCAAAAAATTCCACGGCGTCACTGGCACCCGCGCCGCTGTGTCCACATATAGCCAAGTCGAGGAGGTCGAAACTCGCCGATTCCTCAAGCGTGTATTCGCGAAACCCAATCAACTGCAGGCACATGTTCGACAGTACGTATAATCTATCATTGCATCGACACGATCGTGATTTTTATAGCACCGCTGCCGCTGTGATTCTTCGCATCTCTCATGGTTACGAGGTGAAAGAGAATGACGATCCCTTCGTTGACCTTGCAGAACGCGTTATGGGCGAGTGGTCGCGTGCCAGCGCTCCTGGCGCTTTCGTAGCTGATATTGTACCATTCTGTAAGCCATAGCATTCAGATGCTTGCTTCCAATGGCCTCACCATTTTAGTGGCCAAGGTCCCTGAATGGTTCCCTGGTGCTGGCTTCAAGCGTCTGGCCTACGAATGGCACGACAACCTTGAAGAATTCGTCTCTGCACCATACAATTTCGTCGTGGATCAGATGGTGACCATCATTTATAATTCTGCAAGTATGCGTTGAAGTTTGACTTTCACAGGCTGCTGGCATTGCCTCGGAGTCTTTCACCTCGAATCTGTTGGGAGGCGGTACCTTGTCAGCGGAAGACGAGCACCTCGTGAAATGGACTGCTGCAGGTCTATATGCCGGCGGTTCCGACACTGTTGGTCCCTCCCTCCATATTTCTGACAACCATCTTCTGAAAGTGGTACACTTTTGCCCCAGATTGTTTCTACTATCTACGCGTTCTTCCTAGCTATGACGCTATTCCCTGACGTGCAGAAGAAGGCCCAGGCTGAAATAGATGCTGTTATCGGTCCTGATCGTCTTCCCTCCTTCGCCGACCAAGACTCTCTCCCCTACATCGGAGCGCTTATCAAAGAGGCCCTACGATGGCATTCTGTTGCCCCTACCGGTCTGTGTATCTCGTTCAATGCACTATCTAGTTACTGAGTGGTATCTCCATCTCAGGTTTTCCTCACTGCGTCTCTAAGGACGATATCCATGACGGGTACTACATCCCAAAAGGTGCCTTCGTCATGCCTAATATCTGGTCAGTACGCTTTTTGTTCCATATTCGATGTTTGAACAGAATATAATGGCAGGTTCATGCTGAATGACCCGAAGAGATATGCTAACCCCTCGCAATTCAATCCTGAACGCTTTTTGGCTAATGATGGGAAGGAGCCTGAGAAAGATCCCCGCGCGATCTGCTTCGGCTTTGGAAGACGGTAAGCATGTAGTAGATTTTTGTGCCATGCTAACTTTCTGCTCTGCAGTCTTTGTCCAGGTATGCCCGACTCCCAAGCTGTATCCTGGCGTTTAATTCATTTTCGTTTACAGGTATCCACCTTGCTGAAGCCTCGGTCTGGTTGTCCGCCGCGATGTCACTGGCCGTGTTCGATATCTCAAAGGTCGTTGAGAACGGTATTGAGATCACCCCTGAGGTTGATCCATTATCAGGCACAGTCAGGTATGTTGCATATCTGATCACGTCCGACGCTGAACCGGACATATGCCCTTCTAGCCACCCTAAACCCTTCGAGTGTTCCATTAAGCCTCGCTCTTCAAAGGCCATCGCGCTCATTGAGCAGGATGCCGACTATTAAGCGCATGAAGATGAATCATAGATCTGAGGCAAGCGGCGATTTTCACACCTGACATCTAGGTCCGTCATAGTTTGAACTTTGTATCATAATGCAGGATCGACTGTGGTGTCACATAGAATATGTACATCACATCAATGGCGCCAATGTAGCACAACGGAAGCATCATACACACCGCCGAGTCTTAGAAGCATCAATATTGAAATCTGAGGTCGTACCGCGATCAACCCAATGAAAAGAGCCCCTAGAGGTGTACAAAAATTTGCTCGCTACAGATTACGCAAACACTCCCCGCATTTGAATGACAGCCGAGCACTGAAGCAATTTCATTCGCCTCAAGGGACTAGTGCTAAAAAGCGAAAGCTGAATGAGAGCTGTGTTTCGTCGCATAAGATCATTTTGGTAAGTTTTCCACTGCATGCTGTACCGACATATGTCAGCAAGTAAGCAGCATGAGTCGAACGAGCAAAAAGCACGTAGCGTACATCCGACGGCATGATATGCCGGCGACCACCTTATTGTCACAACGTAACTCAGTACCTCGGCATTGACCGATAGCTTGCCTACAATGCTATGTCATGGAAAACTTGAGCCATGAACACATAAATCAGAACTCCCACAGCGCATTGGATAGTCAGGTCCTCTGCCCACAGGGAGATAGTTCCGCTGCCAGATCTGATGATCGGCGATCGCCAAGCGAGAGAGGGGAAGAGGCATGGGAGATGGGACGATGTTGTGGCATGGGACCTGCAACAGTCCAGGCCGGCATTCACGCCAACGTCTCGCACAGCTTTTGTTGATCCGAGCAGGCACATGATGTTGTCAACTAGGGGCTCAACTTGAGCTTTGTAGGCCGCCGGGCTAAGCGTGCTCGTCTTCACTTCTTCAAAATGGCTGCGGGTCCAAGCTATTTTGGACTGAATTGGAGCACACAAGTGACGTTTTTAAGAAGACGCACCAAATAACATCGGTTGTTTCAGAACGGCACGTCGATACACGTGGTCTAACTTACAATGCCGAACCTTTCCTAATCAAGACATTAACAACTTTGTCAATAGTGAGTACGCAATGGAATCTGATGGAAACATATAGAAAGAGGGCAGTGGCAATTCATCTGAGTCAGAGAATAAGATTCCAGTTCCACCGTTGACCGGAACCTGTGACGGGGTTTAAGGATTGTAAAAGTCATCAGCCAAGCTTCGTAGCAGTGTCCTACATCAATGCCAAAGGTTCGGAGCCGAAATGCTGACTCGTAGTGCAAGCTTGCTGACAAAAAATCCGATCGGCGCAAAAACTCGTTTATAGGAGGATTATTCATGATATCCCTCGTTCCTTTCATTCTTGTCTAGAGGTCCAATTCAACAATGCGCTCACCTTGGCTATCTCTTGTTGTCACCGCACCTCTTCTCGCCATCAGCCTCTTCGAACCCCTATCAGCATTGGCAGTCCCTGTAGCGGACCTTGAATTATCGGAAACACACACAACTCCTCATGATCTAGTAGCACCGTCAGAAGTCTTCAGACGTGACAATGATCATATGCACATGCATCATGGCGCACCTCTGACCGAGCTGAACGAGACTGCGATCCTTGAGTGGCATCCTCCCACTCCCCCCTCTTACTGGTCTATCGATATCGAGGATCGTGACCCATCAGTACCCCGTTACCCTGCACTCATGGCCTTACACATCATTTTCATGACTCTTGCCTTCTTCGTCGCCCTGCCTGTTGGTGAGAAAACATCACGTACCTGCATCATGCACCTTCGCGCTAATGTCAAATGGGCTACACAGGTATAGCAATGCGTGCTTTAAAGCATTCATGGCATGGGCTCGCCATAGTCGCATTCTACAGTTTATGTGCACTCGGGTGTGCATCCGGTACATCATACAGGAAGTTGACACCAGATATGTAAGCGAAACGTCACTCGATGATCGATCAAATATTCCGGCATTTTCCTGACTATCTCAACCGCAGGTATGAAGGATCATCCCATGCATCCCACGGTTACTTGGTTTTAATCCTAAGTTTATGCCTCTCTGCGCTCGACATCGTTCGCTTTCTCGTTCGTCTATATGCGTTCGTAAAGAGCAGAAGCAAGTTCTCCTTGGAACCATTCTGGCAGAACGTTGTCCTGGGACGTAATGAAGTCTACAACCTCACAGCCAGGTACACTAGCTTGGACCCGGAGGAACCCTCAGAATTTGATGTAGCTGAAATGAAACCTCTGAGGGTCGCTGAAACCAGGGAGCCTCTTCATGTGCGACGGAATCAACCCATTGCAACTATCCAAACCCAAGATTTGGATGATCCCGATGATGATGAAACAGCACCATGGGTCAACGACTCTCGAAATAGTCAGGGGGCAATCCATTATACGAAGTCGAGCTTATCGGAGAGGACCGTGTTTGAAGCTGATTCCCCGCAAGGTTCTAGGCACTCTGACGAAACCTTGCGTGATTTCAAACTTCCCGGTGTTATCGAGCCACAAGCTCTTCTGATCCGCATTAGTCAAGGGGCATTTGCTGCTCTTGAGAGAGCATTGGTCTTTGCAGCCTTTGGTATGACACTGTCAGGTATTGTCGTTTATACCGGTGGCTGTCGCGAAAGCTATGTAAACGGCTGTCTTGCGCATCTCATCAGTATGTAGGTATCGTTCTATGCGGAGGCATTGAGACTTACTAGGTCCGCAGAGGGCGGCATCTTCTGGTGTTATGGCTTGGTTACGTTTGCTCGGTACCTTGGATCTTTCTCTGAGCTTGGGTGGGCTTGGAATATCTCACCGAGTGGTGAACATGTTTCTGCTGAATTCGTGGAGTCGTTGGTCATTTTTCTCTACGGCATCACCAACACTTGGATGGAACGCTTTGGCGTTCACTCTGGTGACCCTTATACCACCAAGCAAGTACAACATATAAGTATTGCTGTACGTCAGTTTCCTCCTGCCTATTCGTATCTCACGATCATCTAGGTCATGTTTTGGTTCGCCGGACTCGTTGGGATGGGAATCGAGTCAAAACGTGTTCGCCGCTGGCTTGCAGCATCTGCTGCAGCTGCAGCCGGCCCAGCTGAGGCTTCCGAGCCTCCAAGCTACCGTGGTAGCTTCAATCCTTTCCCTGCTCTCGTCATTGGTGTCACCGGTGCTGCAATGAGCGCTCACGCCCAGACTTATCTCTTCCAGGTACCATGGGAATTTTTCCACTCCGTTTCTAACTAATCTGGCTTCGAAACAGGTACAGATACACGAAATATGGGGAGAGCTCCTTTTGGGATTCTCGGTTTTAAGGTGCTTAACCTACTTCTTTGTCTGGCTTGGCCCGCCCCGCTCTATCCTTCCATCTCGACCGCCGACAGAAGCTCTTGCAAGCTTCTTCCTTGCATGTGGTGGTTTGGTGTTTATATTCAGCACAGAAGAAATCACAATTGCCGCTATGCGAAAAGGGCGTGATGGTATGCGATCCTCTACCCCGACGTACCTCCGTACTGACGAACGAACTTGTTATAGATATGATGATGTTCCTCAACGTCGCCGTTGCTATCACATGCTTCGCGTTCTGCTGGACGTTCTGCATCGTTGCGACGAAAGGATGGCTCAGATCCCGCAGCAGTCCTCGCTACCCGCTCTCAGCTCCATGATCAGAAGATGCTCTTGTCCGTGCTTACACGTAAATGCTGTAATTCACGAGTGCTTTCAGTTTTCCTTTTCATCCATGTTCGCTCACATTTATAGTACTTGATAATCCTGCTATATCTACACCCTTACAACAATAATCCATAGAATCTCTTACATGGCTTCACGCTCATCTGTATAGTAACGAAATGTATTGATTGCACGCTTAGTGGGAAATTGCGAGCACGCTCTTTCAAAGCTGAAGCAGTGACTTCGACCAGGATGGTTTCCTCTCCATGCAGGTGCTCGACTGCACCACGCAACCATGTAGTTCATCGAATGGTTGAATTTGTACATCACAATGGGTACTTTGCAGAACGACGATTATTTCCTAAGTAGCACATAGACTGGATCGCCAAGAACGACATTAGTCAAGTGTCGATATGAACCGGTTATCGAGAGCAGCAGTCCACCGAATGACGCGTAGGCCGTGCTGCAGGTCATGAGTGCGGGCCAGTAGAACTGGAAACATGCAAACAACTTACACAACGTCAGATGATCCAGTATCAAACTTATATACCTGTCGAATCAATGAGTACATTCAAACCCTTGTGCGATGGAAAAAAGAAAAAACATAGCCATACCTTCCCATACATTACGTAGTCATAATCTTCTTCCAGGCCTCTCCTTCCTTTGCCATCTGGTCTCCATACATCTCTGTCTTTGTCTTCTTCCCCATCTGCGGTGGGTGCACCACCGTCCCGGGACAGTGACGAAGCGAGGGCCATCGCGAAAGTGTCCCCGTTTGATATAGGGAAGAGCTCGATGTTATAGTCAAGCGTCAAGTCCATGTCATAGTTCTTTGAACGAGCGTATAACCGAGATACTGGGTTCACATAGCGCAGGTCAATCACAGGCAAAAAGTGATGCGCATAGGCAAGTCCGGACCTCGATCGAATTTTTTGCCATCCTTGTCAATGGCATCAATCGTGAAAATATCGTCGAACACAATGCTAGATGAGGTGGAGGCCATAGCTAACAGTGAAGAAAGAGCCCGGACAAGTAGTCAAGATCTTTGAGTCGTCCATCTCCGAAAATTTCCAAAAAAAGTATGCGATCCCTAACTAAGGAGCTAGAAAAATCGATATCGAATCTATCTCAACAACTTGGATGAAACAAGACTTGACACCACATGAATGAGGAGTTTGACGAGGAATGAGGCACAGATGCTGACTGTAGAAAGCCAAATCAACAGTCACTTAAACTGATGTCAATGCTTCTGTCAGACTGCTCGAATTTTGGCATTTCGAGCAGATAATCTTCATGTAAGACCTGGAATAAGGAGTGCATAATCCGCCAGAGCTCCCGTCCATATCCAAAATCCAGACCAACCACATCCTACGAATCCTTGCCAGCAACTCGGACGACTCTCAAGGTCTGTTCTCCAAAGGACACGTGCAAGCTGCGCAGCCCCGAGACCAAGGCCGAGATAGAATGGTACCCCATGAGCGTTGAGAACGCCTGCAAGACCAATAAAAGATATGGATGATGCCGAGAGCGCGCCGAGGATGGGACGGGTCTGCTCTCCGAAAAGTAGGGCAGTGGAGTAGATACCAGCATTCACATCGTCTGTTTTGTCCTGCGATAGTCAGAAGCTAGAGTGCTTATTATGCAGTAACACCCACTTGATGTGCATATATGGTGTCATATACAAGAGTCCAACACACTCCGCCTGCGTATAGAGGGAGACAGACACTCCAATCGACTGCCCCAGCAACGGCAGACCAGCCCAGCAAAGCCCCCCAATTGAAGGTGAGTCCTGTGGCATCTTCATTCCAGTTCTGGAATACGACGGAAATTACTGACACGCACCTAGTACAACTTGCGGCCAGTAGGTGATTCTTTTCATGAGCGGGTATACGGTCACCAAAGACATAGATGAAGCTCCAAGGAGAATGCTTATGATTAAAAAGGTCAACGCCTGTGACAGCGGGGCGAAAGTAAAGACGCTGCGTACCTGTACCAATTCAACTGTAACAAAACTCCCAATCCCACTGACAACTGTCCAGCTAAGAACACCAGCGCCTGTCTCTGGCTGATGACACCTTTCGCAAGTGGTCTACTTTGTGTTCTCTCTGTGATGACGCGTCAGTGCAAAGAAGACGCGATAATGGCCCGTGTTCTACTTACCTACGGCTTTGTCTAAATTTTTATCCCACATGTCGTTGATGGTGCAACCTGCACCCCGCATGACCACTGCTCCGAGTCCAAATAGGCCGAGATATGCCAGAGGTGTCGTTAATGGTGCCTCTAAGGCATACGAGGCCATGGTTATGGACCATGCTAGATGAAGGAAGGATGAGCTGGAAGAGCGCACAACTTCGAATCGGTTTGACGCACCGCAAGGGTAAAACACCAATAGGGTCCCAATTGGCTTGTCTATTCTTATTAAGTTGAGGTAAGGTCTAATTTTTGGTGGAAGGCGGTCGACCCAGGTTGTTGGTGCAGTTGAAGCACTTGATGGAGTCCCAGATACATGGCGGCTCAACACCTTTGTTGATAAAGACAAGATGCCAGCTGTTTGAGACGTATGCCTACCAACCCATGGAATATTGTGTGCCGAGTTTCTCGTCAAACAGCGTCCTGCATACAACCTGGAAAATCGGGTTAGTACTGCGATGGTCATGCTGCACTGCAGTACACAAGTTCCCGGCTTGCAGGAGCACGTATGTTTGTATGTTCCTGAATCTTGACTCTCACGATAAGTACTTGGGGGAACACCATGATGATGGACCAGAGGTGTGGTTTCAATAGACGGCCAAATAAGAATTCAAATTCATGTATAGCAAGCCCTTTTGATTCCGCCGTGATCTTGTATACGTATTTGCTTAATGAGCGCATGATTTGAGAACCGGCTGACTGCAGAAGCAAATGGCGTTCTCGAATGTGAAACACCGCAAGTCAACCACGGACAACGGAACAACCTTGTGCTGGTAAACGTTTTCTGCCCAGTGACTTGACATGTTAATAGAAAGGCCACGCAGGTGGCATCAAGACTGAGTGGACATATCCATACATGGAAAGGCCACTTCAACACGCGCACAACATCGGCAACAGGCTGCGCACAGTTTGGAGGCACACGAATATCAGCCAACTGTTCCAAAACAGTATCGACCGACAAAGTGTTAAATCATTCATGAAGGTCAAGAAAATGCTGCAAGATAACGCCAACGCCCTGCGTGCGACCCTGACGAACGCTACTACCAGGGACCATCAACCGCTACTCGGATACGTATTATACTCGCTCGACACGGTGTTTATCTTTGCTCATGCCGAGGGCCAACTCGAAGGAGAGGTAGGCTATGGGCGGTCCTGGTCACTAGTAGTGCGTGCCTGCAGACCTGATATGACGCTTTCGTTGTCTCGCTCAGCGCTCAGGACCTACTGTTTCCCGGATGTCTGCACTAGTATTATGTACTAGTTGCACTGCTGTGAGCTATGTCAAAATCTCCTGCATGCTTAGCATATTAACAAGGCACCACAGTCTGCAACGACCTGACCGGTCAAAATTTCCGTAGCCCGCATTTATATCTGAACATTTTCTTAGCGGAAAACTTCTGTCAACCTGGATCAGCAGCCACTCGATGTCGGCGGGACTGTTCGAAAGGGTACAAAGGTACATCCAGGGAGATACGAGAGCTGATATGCGAAATGATGCCATAGGGTAATGCAACAAAGGTCATAAAATGATAAGGCGAGAAGTCTTCATTCACCACTCCTTGGCAAGTTTGAATGACCACTCCCAGTCTGAAAAGGTGGCAGGTCAGTTTAAAGAGACCTCGATCACAGCTTCTGCGAACACAAACCTGCGTATACTTCTCCATCGTCGTCCACAACACGGCTTCTGACATTGTACGATCCTGAACGTGCCACAAGCCCCGACGGCGATTCTTCTACATCAAAATTCTTCGTGTATGGTTCTGCCTGGGGACCGTATGACCCAAGCATTTGCTCGAGCTTGTCCACTATAGAGTGATCAACAGTCAAGGTCCCAAACTACATGAGAATGTACTAATACCTTTGATACCAGCGCGTTTGACTAGCTGGATGTATCGTACACCCTTCGCAACAAGGTTTTAAGACCCGTCAAGCCAAACCGAAGACAGGCCACTTACAGAGATAATTGAGTGGTTCACCTTGAACGTGATCCGAACGCTGTGACAATATTAGCCTCATAGCATCGGAGAACAAACGTCAGAGCACTTACTTATATTCTACACCTTCCTTGATGATGATTGGGTTCTTCTTCGTATCGGCCAACTTGGCAGCGTCATTGAGATCAAAGACAAGCGTCTTGCCAGGAGGCAGTGTGGGTGAATCAAGCTCTAGGGTCAGAACTGTCACCTATACGACCCATCAACTTCAGGACAGACAGTACTGGGAGTAACATACTCTTGGTCCTGAGGTGTCCCCAGTTGACACTCCAGCCGTGATACCAAGACTGGCTTTCCACCGTGCCAAGCTCTCGTCTTCTGCGTCCAGTTGGGCATATTCATCTGCTGTTTTTGCAGTGCCAGTTGGCTTGTAGCCTGGGATAGATTCAATAAGCTGCTCATTCTGTTTGCTCTACATTCAATGCTTGCCCACCTGGGGTGGCAGAGGGCTTCAGATCATCCTGATCATCGTTCTACAGTAACACACCAATCAGCAAGCGATCGCCATCAGGGTATATGCTCGAAACATACAGAAGACATCTCAAACGTGAAACTCGAGGCTTAGAAGGAGATGGACAGGTCGATGAGTGGTACTGGGCAGTTTCCAAGGGCCTTTTGCAATTGGCAGTGCCAAGATTCTTGTTCAAACACTTATCTACTGATCTGATTTCACACGCCTGGTGCCTAGGCTGGTTCATGATCCAAACAATTGACCTTTGCAATTGTCAGATAGGCTCAAGCTTCGAGTCTCGACCAAGGCTCTCAAAGGCTTTCATTGCGGTTTGAACGAGACCAATGAGGCGGAGGATCAACGTTTCAACGCCTCCATTTGGTGGCAGCCAAAACGCAGGACACAAAGGGACATGTGAGTGCCAGGGGTCTTGGCCACATGATTTTGGGGTCACGCCATACTCGGACCTTCTCCACTCCGTGTACGTATATGTTCTAGAGCATGCGGTGCTGGAGAGTGTGCTGGGCGTTCCGGACTACATAAATAATAATCCACATCGATTGATACAATAACATGTAAAAAACCACACATGAACTACAACGTTGTAAGCAAATAAGAGCAGACAGAGGATAACGCGATAAAACGTCAAGCTAACATCTTCGTACATGCCATGTGGCACATAAAATAAACCAATAACAGGCAAACAAGAGTGGAGGGACGCTAAGGTGATAGATGAGGCGAAACATCATGCATACTTTCTGAATATGAAATATTCCAGTTAATACTTGATTGTTATCTGACGTTTTGACACGAACCGCCTTTGAACCAACATTTGCCCTTGCTCAGGTGGAAACACTTCGGACCGTTAGGGCACACATGTCCCCAGCAGCACCGCTCGCCGTATGGGCACTGGAGACCTATAATGACCAAAAACTTAACGAGGCATCGAGGTCAAGTTGAATAAACGTGCCATTTTTTAGAAAATTACAAGGAGCTTTTTTGGCGTTAGCAGCAAGAGTAGCCAGTTGATCTGGCGTCAGGATATAGTCATGCGAATATTTACAAGCCCCCTGGTACCGAAACGTTCATTAGTAAAGTGAAGAAGACTCGCAGTTCGTACATACGCCTTTAGTGCAGGACATGAGATAGAATTCATTACAAGGTGGGGGAGAATCTGTGTAAGCGGTAAAATGTCGAGTGTCTAGGCACTGACCACAGCTAATCAACACAATCTTAACTCACGCTTATGAAGGGGCTGGGAGCTATCAGCATCGAAAATAAACCACAACGAGAAGGTAGACTCACCAAGGTTGGGTCCACAAGCCTTCCCGTCGCAGAGGCACTCATACTGTGTGGCGAATGCGGTGTCGGTAATCCACCAGATGTCAGTGTGGGACTGAGACCGTTCATATTTAATGGTGGAGGTGTCCTCAATGGTGGCGAGAGTCTCTGGTTGATAAACAATGTGTCCACAGTCAGAATTGGTAAACGGTGTTTCTGCGCGTAGTTTGGGCTCGCGCGGCAGGCTTCCAAGAAAGCGACTTTTCCCAAAAGTCCGTCATTTTGCAGCGCAGCAATAGTTGGAGCGTAAGTGTTTTCCTGACCACCTGTGTTACGTCAAGTTGTGTATACGGCATTGAGCGTTGACGAGACTTGCCGGCAAAAAAAATTCTCTGAGTTTGAGGGAAGCGCAAGTAGGTTTGTAGATACTCTAAATGGGGGTAAGTGATAGATAACATTGATCAACATATGCCGACCTGTAATTTTCGTGAAGGTGGCGTCTTTGCCGTATCCGACATCAACCAAAACAAACCTGGGCGAAGACTGGCTGAAGCCCATAATGAAGGCATCAAGTTGCTCGGGGCTACATAATTTATGTCGCTCGAGAACGCTCGCCAGTATGGCCTTGTTAAAGTAAATTGTTACCCAAAATGACAGTCGACCGAGAACGTGAACATCCTCGCTGGTTAAATAATCTGCGACTGCCCTCGTCAATTGTTGTGCGGCCTGGCGGCCACCTTCGTGACCTTGCCTAAGGAGCAAGTCATTAAATATACAAGCATCCCCGTCAATGACGCAGAGGACGAGTAGACTCTGGCTCTGTTTGAAATTATGGATAAATTTAGACAGCCACTTGCCCTAGCGGGAATTAGACTGACCATGAAGGTTTCCATCGACGCCACCTGAGAATTAAGAGAAGCCAACCGCCCTTTGAGAGCCTTAGCCTCCCTGTCTGCACCTTCAATAGCAGTCGCATGGGCTTGTTTCCAGACCGCAAGCTCGACCTCGAGTTCAGCTAAGCGATTCTCGAGGTCAGCATTCCGTTGAATTGTGGCCGATGACAGGTCTGCAAAACAGCATTAGATTACAAGCTGATTCCTGAGATGAGAGGTACTCACTCAGAAGTCTGCCCAGCGTCTCATCCCTTGTGAAAATTTTCAAATTAATATTTCAGCTGGTGCACTACATAGATGACTTACCAGAGCTGCTGGCTGGCCTCTGCTACCGGAGACGTTGCCATATGGGTTGGCGAACGGGGGTACAGAGTGGATATTAGATATTAGGGAAACACAGGAATGCTAACAAAATTCGGCAGCCTTTTAAACTAACGAAGCCACGATGTTTACCTGCAAAGGGGCTAGGCCGTTAATCAGGCTAGATCGCGGGATTCATGCAATGGGAGAAGCCCGCAGATAAGGCAATCATATCGTGAGCAGCTTGAAGGTCATATTGTCATTCGAAGAAGTTGAGACTGATTTGGCTAAGTCACGCGAACCAAGTGAATGTGCCGCACTCTTCGTTGAGAATCACTTGTACGTGCTCAAGTACGTCAATGGAAAAATTCCATCAGCATTACGTTGTTAATTTTTCTCCGCGATGATGATTTGAATGTTAGGAAAAACTGAACCTTGATGTCAAAACGTGACTGCATGCATATATGTACAAATAGACATTCCCGAGGCCGAGCCCATCTCCGGCAGGTCAGCCTCGATTGGTCATAACAAGAAACTTTATCATAATAAAATGGAAGGTTGCGCGTTAATTCAGTTGTTCGGTTGCCGGTGCATACCAGCTGAAGCGAAGATGTCAGGGTGGTTTTATGTGCAGAGTGACGGTATGCCTCACCAGCAACGAATTTACATTTTCCTAACTTCAGGAAATAACAAGTTGTACCATTCGGGCACGAATGTCCATAAACGCATTCATCTCCAAATGGACAATCTCCGCCTGACGAACAGTCGGTATTATGTTCAACAGATTGTCAGCGGAGAAAACACACCTTCGTTTGTAACTTTACAAGGCGTCTTCTTTGCATTCTCTCCTAGTTCTTGATAGTGTTCCGCTTCTAAGATATACTCATGCGAATATTTACAACTTGGACCGTGCCTGCATTGTGCCAAATAGAATAAAGTGCACGGAGGCGGAACATCTGTGTGAAAAGATCAATATTAGATCGCTACAATAGACGCTAGTGAACATACGCTTAGATAATGCCTAGCAGTAATTCGGTCAGGACAGCGTCAAGAAACATAGGAGGGTAATACGACTCACCACCTGGTTATTGATACGTCGCTGCTTCGATGGAGAAGGAGGGGTCAATCGCGGCAAGCGAAGCGGGATCTCGCTTGCTTCGCTGGACTCGCTACTACCCTCACTTGGCTCCATTGATGGGCAGTTAAACCGCGTAGACATTGTTAACGGTGTTTGCAACACTGATTTATAACTTGGGAGACTTCCGCGCCGAGCCATTGCTCCTTGGCCTTCTCCAGAAAAAGAGTTGATACCAGGCGGAGTAGTAGGAGGACAGACAGGTTGCGGTGCGGTCAATTTTGGAGTAGTAAGCGCCAGTCCGAGCAGGGGACCGGTCGCGATGACATTATAAGACGGTGCCACGAGTTTAGTTGTCATAAACAGCTCGGGTATTCTGAGCTCAGGTAGCTGAAGCGCTCTGATATCAATCGCTACATCAGAATAACCAGGCATGAGAACAAGCTTATGACCAAGGCTCGAAGTGACAACAGAACGAAGGTTGTGCACATAGCCATTATCATGGCATCCTATTTGGCGAAAATCAGTAAACTACTTGAAGTGTGGAGGTGGGACTTACCACCGAAGAATATTTTGTAAGTGTGTGGAAGACGGATGTTATCTTCAAGATGGACTAGATATCCAGAAATAACTTCAATGCATCCGTGCAGATCATCACACAAGTCAACTCACCTTTAAGCTTTGCATCAGCAGCTTCTTTGCTACCTCCTACGTCAACCATGATAAATCGCTCAGCAGCTTGATTGAAGCCCATCATAAAGTCATCAAACTTGGCTCTAACCGTCGTCAGACCCACTCGGCCGAACGTCTCTAGAAGGCCGCGTTTGTTGTAGAAGAGATACACCCAAAGTTGATATTGTTCAAATCCTTCACTGGTAGATATGAATTGGCGAACGCGTTCGGTCAGTTTTCTCGCAGCAGCTAGGCCACCGTCCTGGCCTTGGCTCATCAATTCCTGCGTGAAGATCATTCCGTCGCCGTCAAGCAAACATATAACTCGTTTTTCCAGTCCCTATAACATGGTTTTCAGTCATGACGATAGTCGTCTGGGTCAAAGGTAAACGCACTTTTAAGGTGTTCAACTCGTGTAACAATTCATTTTTCTCTTCCGCTTGTCTTCGAAGCCGGTCTTCCATAGCAGAGTATGCTGTTTGAAAAACACCCAAATTTGTTGAAAGTTCGCGGATACGATTCTCGTAGAGGCTTTCGTTTTGCAGTAATATCTGTATTTCACCTGTCGAACATGTTGTCCTGGGATGATTACTATTTCACGTCAGAGGTGCATACCAGAAAGGTGCTCGAGGGTGTTTCGTCTGCATGGCCGTCATTCAGTATTCCACATAGCAAGGCAACCGAGTACGGACATTGCATGCTGCTGAATGGCTCCATGATTTTCGTTTGCGTTCATCATGCTGGTGAGGCAGGAGAGAAGTCGTGCCGCGCCACAGTTTATAAACTCAACCCCTTTGACGTGATCCTCACCCTTTGTAGTATGTTGGTCAAGGCGATGCATGTGCTGTGTGCCATCGAGATTCACTTCTAAAGTTGAGGAGCAGAAAGCTCAAACGGTTCACTCGTGGCATTTTGCGCCTTTGCATGCAGGCATTCATGAACTCGCTTCTTGTTCACACGTACGTCTGGGCCCATGCATGCGAAGATGTGACCACAACGAAGCAAGATTTCTGGCCATCGGCATCGACACAAATGGGCTACTTAACATCTAGTAGAGATGCAATGCCCTGATTGATAATGATATGTCGTACACTAGTACGGTGCAAGATTGCCATGGGTTCATTGGCGATCAATAATTTATAAGGAAGGCCAAGGCGGTGACCCGTTTTGTTTGCAAACAGGGACACCGAACCTACAGCTGAGTTCATTTTCAAGGTCAGGTGGAGCCTGATCATGAAATTTGAAACCTTGGACACACCAAATAAGAGTCCACGATAGGTGTTGGGGGACATCTTCGAAATCAATATATCCCTAAATATGTCTCGGGATATGTAACGCGTCTGTCCATAGCTTTTCTGACCGAGTCTCAGGTGTCAAGTACTTCAGTCATTGATCTTTACCTTCTTTACTCCCGTGGATATTGCGTGGATCAATCGCTGGCTCATGTGACCATTATCGTGACATCGCACCATGACCATGAGATCACATGTCTGCGACAAGTCCTCAAGATGGACAAAATCAGCCTTACGACAACACGACTATACCTGCTGTTTGATAATTACCGACATTGAACTCTGTCTGCAACCTCTTTGATGCACCAAATATTAACCATTCTGAATCATCCGGCTATTTGTTTAAACCTCATCAAAGATCATCGAATGCAGTCTTGATTATAGTGAGATCCGGTTTTTCGAATGTGGAGAGCGAACTGCGCCTACCACAAAAAGGAATTCCTAGAATTGGCACCGCGCTGCACTATGATTGAATGCAGAAATTCTCCGCGGAGTTTCCAGTTGTTACTAGCTGAAGATGGCTACCTTCGCCGTCTTGTTTCATCAGATCATGAGAGAAGTCAAGGAGGCGCACAATTCGCTGATATGAGCTCCATTTGTAATTTAGAGCTGATTAGGTCGTGAGGCTGCAACCTTCTAAAGTTCTTGTTCCAAAGTTCTGTTCTTTTCCTCCATATTGGCGTACGCTAACTCGGAAATTGTAAAATGAAGCCCTAGCGTTGCTTCTCTCAAGACCTGTAGTTTGGAGCCTTTTGAAACAGTTTTGCACGGATTATAGATACGTACCTAACCTATGCAACCTCGAGGCTTCACTGTGGATTTGGTTAAAACACACCTAGCACTCGGCGCAGAATCCAAAGAATGTAAGCGAGTAATGAGGAGTATCGAGCAAGCTTGTTGGAGAATGAGAGGTGTTGGTCAAGATGAAAATTGCTTACCGCTAGCTACTCATTAACCGGCATCTGATATAGTAATATCTCGAGTATTAGTGGACGGCAGCCAAACAGATGCACTGAGATGATGAGTATTCAAATGAGCGAACGAGATGATAAGGACCAGCAAGTAACGAACACATAGCGAAGACGCGCTCGTGGGAACTGCTTACGTAGACGCGCCGTCGATCATTTGGTTCGCGTCAGTACTTAGTCTTGTTCATCTTTCTTCTGTTTGGGGCATCCTTCATTGCTCCGGCAGCTGGTACATTCTCTACTTGTTGTACTTACATACTCTATTTTCATGACCGACCTATACTCATCCCTCGGAGTCTCGCCCAGAAAGAAACGTCAACTCATTAGTTCAGATGACGAGACCACTTTCACTCCGAAGAAGCTTCGAACTGCGTGAGCATGTTTAATCTACTGTCACTGTGCTATTATGCTCATAGACGACATACTTTAAGGCCACCTACACCACCCTCTTCTGCGCATAAGGGCAGCAAACCAAATCACACGTCCTTGCCACATCACCTTTCACGACTCAACACAATTCAAACAGCCCTGCAGCATGCATTATCACATGCATTGGCAACATGCGCTGTGTCTCCATCCTCTGACACGGGCATAGTGCGAAACGTGCTCAATCATATGTCCATCATGACTTATTCTGGGCTCACAACCAAATTCGACACCGATGATCTTAAGCGACTTTGCTGGGTATGGGAGTGGGATGCAAAGTCGCTTCCTGACCTTACAAGTAAACACAAGGCAATCGATGATGAGAACCCCTTCTTAGATAGCCCTGCACAGCCTCCTGCCAAAGACTGGACGCGAGGCGCGATGGGATTGGTCATCAGCCCAACTACCCATTATTCCAAGAGCGCGGGCAAACGCGTACCTGTATACGGTATTGGTATCGAGGTTGAAATCGATATTGACAAAGATATGGGGGGTGGGATGGCTGCAGTAGCTCGATGGACCGCCGATGCAGAAAAGCGGCGAACTGAGTTTCGAAATAAACTTGAGCGCTGGGTCAAGGTTTGTCCCCCAGATCTCTGCTACTATTACATACGTTAACTCCAATTATAGCTTCACCCTGATGTCCCGAATGTGCCAAATGTCCCTTTGGCAGATATCTCAGAGCTTGTCACTGCAGTCAAGGCGTCCTCGCTGACTCGAGTGCTTGCTTCTGCCTCGCCTAAGGGTGCCTCAATTCTTAAGAATATGGTTCCGTCCAGTCCAAATTCACCGGTGAAGTCGCCTGTGAAGCGTTCAACCGCCGCACATGAGTTTACGGTCCCCTTTCCTGCGATCAGTCCTTCAAAGTCAGCACTTGCATCATCATCGAAATCTTCCATCGCATTTCCTCAGACACCATCATCGCGCCAGAGGCGCGCAGATCTTTTGATCGGCCTTCTAACCCCAAAGACTCCTGCACGTCATAGATGCGAGAGCGATGCATCGGACTCTCTGCCTATGACACCTGTCCATCAACGCGGTGCCAACGCGGAGACTGCACCATCAACTCCGAGTACATCTCGTCGTCAAGCTTTGTATGATCGAATTCGTCAGAAGTCTGTTACCACCAGTCCAACCAAAGCAAAGAGCGCGGAAGTTGTGGGAGGAAAGCTCTCTAGAGAGCAAATCCAGAAAATGGGTCAGGAAGAGATTCGACGGCGCTGCCTACTCGGTCGCCTGGGTGGTGTCGCCGAGAGTGCCTGGATGTTAGTACCATGCACCTGACCTGTTCTTTCATTGATTTCTTATTTAACAGGCTTTTCTCGGCTCCTGTCGGTCCGACTTCCACGCCAACTATTCGCAAACGTAAAGTTCTTCCGACCTCTGAGGTCGCGGCTGCGATCATTAAATCTTCCCCTGTGCCGATGTCAACTCTAGAAGCAAATGAATCACTAAGACTACTCACGAGCCTCTGTCCATTCTTTCTGCGACCTCTGGAAATCGCCGGCAAAGAATGGCTTGAGATGCCATCCACGTCATCGGTGCAGGACTCTGACACTAGCACTGTCGACAAGTCGGTACCTCCTAGTCCAACCAAGAAGTCCACTGGCAGCAAACTCGTCCCACCACCCAGTCCAGGTACTCGTTATACTTCTACTATAGGTCCACCGCCCAGTCCCGGCTCTCGTGCGAAATTCGACAGCGCCGAAATACTCACCCGGAGTCCCAGGCGAGTTAAGCGTGAAATAGGCGGCCTCAGAGAAGTGAGGGAAATTATTCGGAGAGAGCTGGAGCTGCAGGATTAGCTCCAGATCAGTGCTCATCTTAACTCTATTTCTAACTTTATCAGTGCGATACCTCCCCTCCACATCCATATCATTGCTTGTCTACCATCACTTTGTTAACTTTTAGCTATGTATGTAGATAACTTTTCGATGTATTACTTGCTTCATTCCCCTCTGGAAGAACCTCCTGGAGATGTTATGACTATCATTCGTTAACCAGAAACTCTGCCCATACCTCGTCCATGTGATATAAAATACTCATATGCCCCCCATCAACGTGTTTCATCCGTGCATTCTTGTAATTGGCAGCAAGATAGTATGCATAAGCCACAGGAGACATGTCATCGTCCTTACTCGCTGTGAGCAAGACAGGCGGACGGGAGTGTTCCTCGTCCAATGCGTCAGGCCGAAATCCCCAATCTGAGTGCAGAAGAGGTGGCGTAAGCATGAAGCCTACCCAGGACTTGGAGGTGCTCTTCAGGACATTCTCAGCCATTTTCCGCACATAATCATCTGGTACCATCCCGCGTTCCTCACTCCACTTCGCAAACTCCTCGCGCTCCGCCTGGTCCATTCTGTCAAAAACAGTTTCCCGCAACGATGCCTCCGCGCCTTCTATGGTCTTCAACTTTCTCGCCAGCACGAATTTTATTAGATGACTGAGAAGGTTGAATGGCATGTAGTACCCGATAGGACCAGGTAGAATATATTGCGTCCACGTCATGTATCTGGCGTAATCGGTATGGTACCGAAACGGGCTGAAGGCGCCTAATAGCAGCAGGCCTGCTATGCACCGGCCGAATGGAAACTTGTCATATGGTGCACCATACAATATCTGTGCAGCGACTGTGCCGAGCGAGCCGCCTGCGATGTACAGTTTAATGTTATGGCCGTCAAAATCTGGGTATAGGTGGGACAACAGCGCGGTCATGTCGCTCGTGAGGCAGTCGCGGTATAGTGTCGACGGGGGAGGTGGTGACGTGTTGCCCCATCCAGGCATGGTGGGCGTGATGAAATGAACGTTCTTGCTCAGAAAGACCTGAGATGGCTGCGACGCATCCCCGACAGTGAAGAAGCCATGCATGTAAAGAACGACAGTCTTGCTGGATAGGTTTCCTGCTTCTGCGTATGCCAAGGTACGCCCATCGCGCAGAGGAAGGAATCTCTCCTCAGAGCCTATGTCTGTAGACATGAATCAAGAATGGTATAATATCGGTGCAGACGAAGATCGCAGCGTGACGACCAGTATATATGCCCCATCAGCAGACCGCCTGTGTAAATCGGAAAAGGAAACACTTCCCGCCGCAGCACAGGGATGTACAAGCGCTGGGTATTTTTGATACGTAGAGTCGATACGCAGCGGAGAGAGCTGCACACGTAACAGGCGCCGCAGCTTATAGGAAGTGTATATGCCATAGATTGTCTGAGATTCTCGTGTTCACAGTTGTCATCCATTTATACTGCGTGTTCCTAGGCCGCCAAGCACATCTTTCTCGTGGATTGCGGTCGACCGTTTCTAAGGAAACAAGGCAGCTTTCATGAATGCAACTGCAAGTGACAAGTAAATCAATGAAGTAACATCGTTCTGAAATTCTTGCAGCCTCACAAAGGAACGAGCTTGATTTGCCTCGACGTAGCTATACGCCATGGCTCCACCATGACCAGCTTGGTGCCGTCACAAAGTTGAGCATACCGTCTTACACCAAGATGACACGCTCATTTTTGTGACACGACTCTTGTGAGACAGTCTTTTGAGTCAAAGAAAGCGTCCTAGTGTGGCTAAAGCTAGCTGAGGCTGTATAGTTTACACGCAAATAAGCGAGGTGGCGCTTCCAATTTCAAATTACCCTTGCTCCTGCCTACAGCCTCGTGGTCGTCTTCTAGAGTATCTGTCTTTTCCCATGGCCACCCAGATCAGAAAGTATCAATCATACAGGGCAGAATTTCCATCATGTGAAGCACTGCATTGCCGCAGCACACGGAACTCCTCTTTCACATTTGTTTCGCGGATATGGATGAACTGCACATCTCAAGAATGTGCTAGCCTCATCCCTGGAGATTGTTGTCGCTTTGTCTGGAGTAGGAACTTCCCTGAGACCAAGTTGGGCGTATGGCACTGCCAGTGGCCTTCACTGCCATTGGTCAGAATGTCCCAGCTGGTGCCTCATTCACTTTGGACGGTGTGGAGCCTGAGCTGGAATTGGTGCGGCTTTGCCCCCTCCCCCAACTGTTTCCTTCACCAAGATTACGAGTGTTGATAAAATCAAAATCGAGAGCACTGCGCATTGCAAGATAATACTTGGCTCCGTTTGATGTATACCTTTCCGACATGTACAACCAATGGAAACTTCTATCTGTATCTCTCATTCCATTGCCTCAGTCCCTGGACGATGGGAAGTTTGATTATATGCAACCAGATATTTGATCAGGCATAATACCTATTTCGCCAGCTAATGCTACAAGATGTATGATGCGGTAGTAGCAGTGATAAAAAAACTTATCTCATTTCCAACTCTGCTCTGATATCTTTCTCAAACTTCGCACAATCAATCACTGTGCCTTCTCTCCTGCTTGTCTCAGCAGCAAATACGGCGAGATGACTCTTCAGCACCTCAGAGATATCAGTCCCCAGTAGTTCTTGATTGTTCGTGCGCACGGCCTCGACAAAAGTACGCATAAGACCCGCGTCTCCACCTCCGTGACCACCACCTTCATTTTTCGGGTGGTGCGTCGTTTTATGACCCGTGTGGAAGTCAGTGACAGTAAAACTATTCATATCGCCAACTATCTCCCCGTGCGTGAAGTGCAATCGTGTCTGACGTTCGCAAATCAAGGAAGTGTATGCCACCATTGTGAACGAGACAGTGGCTCCTGATGAATATTCGATATTCACAACCTAGAAATACAACATCAAGACGCCGCTTTGTGAGGGAAAATCGGACTGTACCTGATGATCGCAGACATCATTATCGCTTTCGTACACACATTGTCCGTAAGGTCCATTGCGTAGAGCATCGGTGATATTCTCTATGTCTGGTATTCCATCTACAATAGTGCTGGCTGGCCAGTGGGTGTTTCCGCGAGAAACAGGTTCCAGGTATACTGCGAGATTTCACTCAGTTTATATGAAACGAGGTTAGAGACGAACTACTTTTCTTTGCACTGTATGGGCAATCTTGTTCTACTGAACATTCTAAGCAGCGAGTTGCTGCGCCTGCTGCGCGGGGCTTCTTCTCCTTCCGAAAATGCTGTAAAGAGCCGAACGAAGAGACTCGCGTCGGCAACGCAGGGGAAAGCCAGTGACAAAGGATATCTATGTCACTTGCGTACCCGATCAATCAAGATGTCATGCGCGGTGAATTAGGGTTTACTCACTGGCAGCTCTTGGTCATGAGAGAAAAAGAACTCTCAGATTCTTTCTTCCAATTGCCGCGAACGTAAGAGTGAGCAAAGTGAAAGTAACCAACGGGCTCGATGTGAACCACGTTGATCAGCTCACCCAACTGTCCTGAATGGACCACTTCGGTGACGGCCTTGTTGTAAGGGGAATAGCGCAAGACTGCCGCACGTGAAGTTTGAACGTTGTAGCACGACTAGTGATAAAGCTCACCATGACCAATTCCGCAAACTGATGCCAGCGTTCTTGACTGCCTTCTCCATTTCAAGGCAGTCTTGCAGATTTGTAGCCATAGGTTTCTCGCAAAGTATATGGTATCCCTGGGCGGCGAATGCCACTAACACTTCACAATGCATGTTGTCTTGCACCGCAACTATTATTGCGTCTGCAAGACGCTTCCCGATAGTTTGAATGGTATCGGCGGAAGCCTTTAAGAGCTCCTGCCAATCATTGAACACAAGGGTCCGATCGAGCTTGTGATTACGGGCAAATATATCGCGAGTATTTGGCCTCGGTTCTGCAATGGCGACTACCTTGCACATCTTCGGGTGGTCAAGGGCATATTGAGTGTAAGCCTGCGTACAAGCGTCAGTGCACCGCGAGGAGGCACACAATTGATTTCATACAGTCCCTCTCTGACCACAGCCGATGACGGCCAACGTGACAGGCTCATTTGGCAGGGATGTCATGATCGCAGAAGGGGGTTCGTTGGACCTGACGCCTGAGCGAGACCACAAGGTCTTTATAGGGCGCAAACGCGACATCATGTGGTCTCTTGATGGTTCGATATCGAATGCTATATCTGAACACAATCAAACGCAGGAGCTTATCACTATATCATGAATGATATCAGCATTCTGTTGTGCGTTGCAGCAGTGGTCGCAGTCGTGTATTACAAGGGTGTTCACAGTCATGTTGGCGAGTTTACTCAGGGTTGTCACAGTTGGGAACGCTTCAGTGCATGCCTCGCTTACTTCCACGTCTGCTCAAAATCTTGCAAGATGCCCCAGAGCCCAACACGTTGAGCAATGGATATACACGCTACAAAAAGCGTGTTTCTATGAAAAATACTATTCCAGGAACGCCCACTTTAACTTCAGAAGGCAGGACTCACTCAATATTGTTGGACGACGCGAACCCAATCACCGAAGGTCATCTTTATAACAGACACAAGTCACTACCACCCAGGGTTCGTCTTGTGAAGCCACTGCAAGATACCGGGGCGCATGACCATCCGCGGGAAATGACGGACGAGGAACGCGAATGGTGGTCTAGCCCTTACCGTACGTTGGGTACACCGTTTCTACTCTCTGTCTACTTATCGTTCTGATGCAGTCAGAATGCTTGCTTCGCCGTTGCGAGAATGTCAGATAACGCGTAAAAAGCTACCCTGTGGTGCGTGAATAGCAAAGGCTTATGTTGCACTTCCTTCATCCCACTCCTAGACTTTCTCATCCGTCTGGCACCTGTGCGCCTTCCAGCCTCTCAGGGAGTATGCGAACAACAGATACTAGTTCCAGATGGTATCGAGCACCCTAAGTTCAAGCCTCGTCGATCCACGCCTGCGTGTTATATTGTATGCTGGAAAGATGCCGTTCCATATGCAACTTCTAGGAGTGCGTGACGAGTTGCAACTTCATTGCAGCCATAACTGAGCTCTTCTCAGTCCCACTGCGCAAATTCTCGCAAAACTTGATCGTGCAACCTTTGCTATCAGCGCGCATCGGTTACCAGCTCCGTTTACGAGTCCTGCAAGAACTCGAACTTCTTACTAAAAGGCTTGCCGCAGGCCCGTTGGACGATCCCGCGGCGACAGTGCTTCGAAGACTTGACCCGTTCTGAATGGAACGTAGTTCGGCAAACTAACTTGATACCTCACAAAGATGCGGTGGCCCTGATAGGTAGTTACCCCCAGTCAACCAGAACCCAGAAACAAAGGAGAAGCCACAGCCCTCCGCACAGATGGATATCGCTGATGTTGTGCAAATCGATACTAACAGCTCAGAAACCTCATCGCGGCGTCTTCCCCCCCTCTCTCTTCTGCATCCAGTCACGGATGATGATCTAGATTCTTCTCTTCTTCCAAATGCGCAAGCTCCTCTCTACCACGGTCTGTCTTTATTTCCTGCCCGACCACAGCGAGCAGCACTGCATAAAGCACTCTGCAAGCTACTTGAGGTAGAGCGTAGAGCACGGTCGCGCGCACTTCCGGCCTCTGACTTTTCCGAAAATGAAAAGTCACCACGAGCCCGTGGTGATGCCAAGGGAAGCCACGCGTTCTTGCTATGTTCGAATCAGCACACTATCAAACGGGCAGATGTTGTGCCTTTAGCAATAGCTCTCTGGAGATTGCGGATGTGGGAGGGGCAAGCTTACGGTTCCACTGTTGAGACGAGTCACTGGGAGGTCGATGCAGGATGGAGATTATCCTGGGCAGAGAAGATGTACTGAATAACCATACCGATAGCACTCAGTATGACATTTAATTACAAGGAATATTAATCAGGATGACCACTTGCAAGACAAATGTTGTGATTTTGCATCAGTCTACACATTTACTCAATAGCCATCGCTGCTGGTTCCACGCTCTTCTTCACTGGCCCTGACAGTACCTCACGACCTTCCCAGAACTTGGGGAGTTTGTCGCCGGGAACAAAGAGCCGCTCGACACCATCCTCCGTGATTACGCACATGCGGATGACACCTCCTGATGAGCCATCTCTTGCCATCGCAAGTGAAAGCGCTATGCGAAAAGATTAGATCAACAACAGGAAAGTGATGTTGGGTGGTTAAGCACGCACTATTTTTCACGAATTCGACGGTCTCATCCCGCCCCCACCCATCCTGGTACGTTGCATCACAGTAACCGTATACATATGTTGAGCCAGAGCCTGATAACATGATATAATTGACTCAGTGTCGAACATGAAACTTTCAAGACGCACCTCCAATGGCCCACGGCTGGCGGAAAAGCCCTCCGCCCAGAGGAATGTTATATACACTTGGACCGACCTCCTTGTCCCACCCAGCAACGATGATACCCGCGCTGAGAGCATCCTTGTTATCATAGCAAATATCCTGGAACATGCCCGCAGCTGACGAAACTGGAGGGTGGGCGCCGTGGATTTGTCTACGAATGCTCAGTGAAAGTAAATTTGTGACTGTTGATAGATGAAGACCTACGTATATAGCTGCAAGTAGTTGTGTACTATATCTGCGACTGCTTGCGTGTCAGCTGCAGGATCCTGAGCGACAGCAGTATATCCGATCGTGGACATGGGTGAGCTTGTCTGTTACACGGTTGGCCTGGGGTTTGCAGCGATGAGGAAACAGATAGTGAGTAGGTAAGAGTGCGCACGATATAGCTTCCAGTCGTCGTACGACTGTCGGCGCCGATGACGACGCCCTTGTCGAACTGAACTGCCATGATAGAGGTCTGCCAATGGTGTACATTAACGATAATAGAATAATGATTAGAACGTTCATACCCCGAGATTGACCTCTCCGCTCTTGAGTCTGTTCATGTCAATGCGATCCATACTGTTGTCGACGTCGTCGTGTGTTATGAAGAAGTGTAATGACAATCTTGAGTTGTGGCTGAGTAGCTAAGTAGCGCTGACGCGTCTGGACGCGTGTTCTCTACTTGTTTCTGATTTCCATTCATCGAACTTACAACTTCTGTTATAGTCACAAATGGCTTCTCAGAAATTGGCTACATTATACAACGAGCTACAGCGTGCATTCGATGCGCGACCGTCAGACTTGAAGAAATGTGGGACACTGCTAGCTCAGCTAAAGGTGTGGCTAAGTTGATCTAAAGCTTTGTGCATGTCTGACTTCACGCTAGGTTGGCTTGATAGAAGCCGGTTTATTGATACCCCAAGGAGAAACAAATCTCCATGACTTGGTCGTTGCTCGTACGTTAGAACGGTCTGTGATATACTATGTGATGACAGTGGGACAGGCGACATCCTCGAAATCGGGGTCTTCTGGAGTATAAGAGCGAAAGACGTTCCTTCGTTCGATAGATATTTCTCCCAACTGCACACTTTCTACACGGACTTCAGGTATGCACAAATATTCTACCCAGATTACTTTCTCCTCACATGCATCAGGTCAAGTCTCCCTCCGTCGAAGCGTGAATTCGCAGTCCGGGGCTTGAACCTCATCCGTTTGCTCACACAAAACCGCATCGCTGATTTCCACACTACCCTTGAATCACTTCCACTTCCTGCTGATGAAATCAACACAAATCCATACATTAGACATCCAGTGAATCTCGAGCGCTGGCTCATGGAGGGTAGCTACAGCAAAGTGTGGAATGCCCGTGAGGAAGCACCAGCAGAAGAGTACAAATTCTTTGTCGACAGTCTTATGGGCACCATTCGGTGAGCTGTTTTCTGCTGGTCTGATCAACGTCACTGAGAATTATTGCCAGGAATGAGATTGCCAGTTGCGAGGAATCGGCATACGATAGCCTTCCTTTGAAGGACGCTGCAACTCTGCTATTCTTTCCCTCACAGTCTGGTTTATTGGTATTCGCCCAACAGGTAGGCACTTCAAGGTCTCCGGAACCCTCCTTTGCTGATCTTGTTTACAGCGCGGTTGGCAGGTAGACCTGACGGCTGGCATGATAACGTTTGCAAAGAAAAATGATGAACAAGTAGAGATTCCAACGCAGAAGCTCATTGCAGCAAACCTGGCATACGCTCGTGAGCTAGAGCAAATTGTATAGACACCACTTCATGTTTGGCTCCTTCACTTTCCGGGCGAATCGAGGAACGATGATATCAAACGTGCTATTATCCGAAATTATTCAAAAGTCTCTAATGCCTCCTGAGCTTTCCTCTTTGCCTCTTCAAGGAGGTCGGCTGGTACAGGCAAATGAAGGTTGTTGGACTCAACACCAACCCAAGTCATCTCCAGCTCAAATTCCTTCTCTTTGTTGTCGTCATGGACGAGGTATATTCTGAGGTGAAGTATTAGGTGAGAAATGTGAACACAAATGCCAGACAGCGTACATTCTCGCAGCCTCCGTAACAGCTTCACGCATCGACAGTTCAGATAGCTTAAGCTTCTCCAGCTCGGTTTTGGCTAGCTGACGGCCTTTGCCGACCGCTGCACCATGATATCCCTGGCATATTATCAGTATCGAGATATTTTGACCTGCAATGTGCTCACTAGGCAGACGCCACTAGGCTCAACTATATACAGTGAAGGACCACTCTTGTCGATGCCACCAAAGATCGTACTGACGCCGAACGGGCGGACAGACGAGTACAACGTATAGGTTTGAGCATTCCAGCTTACAGAATCTGACAGAGCCTGGTGATAGTGAATGAGTATAGCATACTGGCGTTCCAGGCGAAATCTGATCACCTTCACAGTCAAAGGTTCTCTCCACTGTTTTCGAGCCTGAGCCCCCGAGTCACGAGCCAGCTGTGATATTTTCCTGCCATCGGCGAGAAGGCCGGCAGATGCCTTGAGCGGTCGTTTATAAGTTCATTGCGAAATTTACCAGGGCACTCACCATGCCTATATGTTTGTCTACTGTTTGAATGCGTCGGTTAGCTCCTGGGACAAGGAGCTTGGAGTGTACGAGCTTCTCCACCGCAAGGACGACACCATCCTTGACGCGCAGCCCGATCGCAGTGCTGAGTTAACGGAGCAGACCATTAGCAACAATTAAAGTACTGAAAGAAAGCTTAGATACCCTGAGTTCTCTACCGCCTTGTTGGCGTATTCGACCTGGGATGATAAGATTGAGAATACCGTACTGTTGGATGAGTTTCAGCGATCTCACCTGGAATATACGGCCATCTGGTGAGTATGTGCTAGCTGAAAGATCGTAACCTGTCCCGATGGAAGTCATGGTAGTAAAGTAAGTAGTTAAGTATGTAAGTGAGCTGTCTTGGTACGCGCAAGCTTGAGCGCGTCAGCCCGTGGGAAATAATAACCGAACCGGGTCAGACGCGTTTCTGAGCCGGTTCGACTTCACTCCCTCTTCACCGACGCGACTAGTATTAGCCATGACCCAAGATGATTGGAGCACAATGCTTGAAGGACATCCAATATTCACGCTTCCAAAAGCCTATGGAGGTCTAACAGGACAGTCAGAGGAGTCACTGGAACTTTCTACGAATACATTGAAGAAATCTATGCTTGAGGGGCCTTCGGCGGATGGGCTCCCCCTTTCAGGACGTCGTCAGGTTATGGTCCTCAAGGATTCTGATCTAATCGTAGCTGCTGGATGCGAACTGAGAATAACGTCTCTTTCGGACTCTAAGCTTGGGAGGAGTACGAACAAGTCTTTCAAAGTACGTGCCAATTCTGACAATCCTAGTCGTGGCTCACTGCTAGAGAAGATCTTGAATACACCAGATATTCAATTTGGAATCAATCAACTTGCACTGAATCCGAGCGGGAAGCTCATAGCTGTAGCGGGAGCATACCAGGTTGCAGTTGTGGTCCTCCCTCGCGCTGGGTATTCCAAGCTTGTGCCTTCTTCCGTGGACTGCAAGTAAGCGAGCGAGTTTTGTATGAATGTTAGCATCTGATCCGTTTTCAAAGGTCAATCCAAGTAGGATCTTTCTACCATCATTCGCATGCGTCTGCCCCCATAGCCAAGATTGAATGGCACCCTTGGGGCGAAGCAGGATCCACTCTTATGGTTATGACTGTCGATGGGAAATTGAGGTTGGGTTCACAATGATGAGTCTATTATATTTACTAATCTTTTTCAGGGAGTATGACATTTCGGTTGATACTGAAGAGCCCCAACAAGTTCTGTCCTTTGTTCCCGAGAAGAAGACCTCAAAGTCATATTTGGCTGAAGATCCTGCAGAGCGCGAGGTCGCATCATTCACTCTGGGAAAGGGTAAAGCAGATTGGGGTCCACTCACCGTCTATGCTGTTATGAGGTCAGGGGACATATATGCTATATGCCCCTACATGCCGCAAAACGCGTGAGTCTTATCATTTCCTGTGTGACACTACTTCTTAATCGATTTCAAGATCTGTTCCATCGTCTTACGTCCACGCACTCGAGTGTTTCATCTCCGCTAAACAAGAGTTCCTATCCCAGGGAACATCCAGCGGAATATCAGCCCTTTCGACGCTCTACAACTATCAGCGGAAATATGTCACAGCTCTGCTAAAGCAACTTCCACCTGGGACTGTGTACCCGGCAATCTCACGCTCTTTCTCTATGCACCCTCCTACGACCATCAAAAGTCAACCGATGCGTCAGGGGCCTTTCCTCCTCCAGCCTTCGCCTCGTTCATTGGAAGACAGTGAAGGTGGTGATACAACGGACATCGCGTATCTTTCTTTCCTCCGTGATGATGATGAAGACGCAGGCGCGACTGAGCGTCTCGGAATTGTTATTGTCACTCATCAAGACGGTAAAGTTGATGTGTGTTTAGACGTAGAGAAAGTTGAAGCACGATGGGAGAGCAAACAGGTTCGTTATCGAAATTATTCTATATTGCTGCTTATGGACGCGACTCTAGGATCAGTCTCAGGACTTGCCTATGCTAGCAGTTTACGAGTGCATAGACTTGGGCCTGATTTCGATGCTGAAACAAACGTCTCCTTTGTCGTCAGGCACACCCATTCTCGACCTCCTTCAAGCAAACCACCCTGTCTTATTGATGGATCCGATACATGACGATACTGTTTACGTCTACCATGCTTTTGGCGTCCATGTCCTTGACTTTGGAGACCTACTGCAATGTCTCACCAACGGACTCCGCGCAGATGACGACGACGGTGTTGCATTGAATCAAGCATTGCAAATTTCGGCAGGCACCCATGTCGTGCCCTTGCTAAATACCTATTCAGTGGACCGAAGGTGTGTGGATGAATAAGCTTCTACGATTTTAATGATTCACCAGTCAATAGATGCTCGAATCCGATTATTGCTATATCTGTACCAAACGACGTCTATCTCTCGTACAGTATCCTAATGCTTACCTCCGTCTTTCGTTTTACATCCTTCCCCCTCAACCTTCGCACCGATCTCTCTCTCTCTCGGACAGCTCCCAATCTTCCTGACAAGAATAAAACTTCTGAAACAGAGGATTTTCTTGCGCCCATTGAAGGACCATCGGCGTACATCTCACTTTTAGGCACGGATCCCTTCGTGCCACCTCCAACGCTTTCGCGTCACTCTGGACTGCCCAGCAATCCTCGCATCACGGTTGGGACCCCAAACACCAAAACAGAATTCGTGCTCACTCCTGAAACATTGCGATATCTGGGTTCAACAATTGAAGGCTTGACATCGCACATCCACGAAATTATCCTCGCATACAAAGCCACAGAAGTACGAGCCGAACTGCAGGCGAAGGAATTTGAGCGACAGCAACAGAAATGTGGTGCGATGCTTGATCTCATTGAACAGCTGGGTGGCTCGCGGAATAGCGAAGTTAAAGAGCGCCTCGAGAGAATACGGGAAGCATACAGGGCGCTGGCATCGAGGCTGGATCACAGACTGCAGACGCTTATGCAGCAAGCGTCGCCGAAGCTTAGTGAATATGAGACGAAGTGGTTTGAGGAATTACGGAGAATGAAGGCAGAGATCGCTGGGGCGGGCAGGTACGACGAGCAATCGCTCGCTGCGCGAACATCACTGGTAATCATTTTCACCCTGGGTTTGGATCTCAGCTGACTATTGTGTAGCTTAAACGCGAGTACAAGCGAATGCTGCCTAGCTTGAATGACATGGCTGCGAAGGAGGCAGAGCGCAAGAAGCATTCGAGTGAGAGTGGACTAGGATTATCCCAGGCTTTCCAATTTGGAGAGCGATCGAATCAAGAGTATGCACTTCGCGTCGAACTAGCTGCTTCTAAACTAACTCGATCATCATAGGCGCACCAAGATAGCCGAGCTGGAGGAAGAGATCATGAAAATGGCATCAAAATTGGAACTTTCGCTGTCTCGCCCGCCATCGCTGCGGGAAATCTCCAAGAACGAATAGTTGGCACTTCTATATCTTTGATCTGGTGTACTTTTTGTCTGCTCGAGAGGATAAATAATCACTGTAGGATACCGCTAGGGTTCTCAACTGCTCACTACCCAAATCTTTGTCACAATATACGAGGAATATTTTTGCAAACATTAGAGCCAGACGGTAATAGACACACTGTAGAGTTATGATCATAACTTCCCGAGGATATCATATACAAGCAGTGCCATACTAATCAACATCTGGAACTATGGGTTCCTCCTGCGGCTGCTTCTCCAAATATGCAGTATGACTCAATAGGAAATTGTATTGCTTGCCATCACCCTGAATGGAATCAAACCTCAGTAATCTGACACAACAAAGCGCTGATGTGACTCACAATTATCGAGGAGGGGAAGCCGGGATCGAAAGGAATGATGCTCTCCAAATACTTCACATGCTCGGGTGTTAGCGAAATCGCCAGAGACTCCAAGTTGGCCTCCAGCTGCTCCACTTTTCGCCCACCAATAATCGGGAACACATAGGGCGTCTTCTGCATAAGATATGCAATGGCCACAGCTGTGATGTGTTTAGCACCAACTTCTTTCGCGACCTTCTCTAATGCTGCGCTCATCGCCCTCTCCGTCTCGTTGCGTTCCCAGTTGGGACTCATGAGCATGCGACCTTTCTCTCCTGTCTGTCGGCGGCGCTCCTCTTCTTCGTCGGTTCGAATTTTTCCACCGGCAAGAACATTCCAAGGGGCAAGTGCAAGACCTATGCAGGGGTGAACGTAAGTGGAGGCGCCAGATAGCGAGCAACAAGGTTGATCTACCTTCGGAGCGGGCCATTGGTATGATATCTCGTTCAAAGTCCCGAAGCATGACATTCCAAGCACCTTGGTAGATCACAAACGGTGATTTTCCATGATCCCGAGCATACTGGTTCGCTTTGGACACGACCCAAGCAGGAGAGTCTGAGATGCCCTACCAGCGATACATGTTAACAGATGTTCATGTCAGCATAGAAATAGGGACACTCACGAGATACAAAACTTTCCCTTGTTGCACCAGTACATGCAGACCGTTCATGACCTCTTCGACGGAAGTATCCCAGTCCCACCAGTGCACGTACAGAATGTCGATATATGAAGTCCTCAGTTTCTTCAAACTGGCCTCAACGCTGAGGTGCATCGATTTGACGTTGTTACCGGTATATGATACCTTCTGGCGAATGGCGTCGTTACCGCGCTGGTAATTGGTCGTGTACTTAATCAATGTGCATCAGCATCGAACTATATAATAGAGTGCCAAAGTTACTTTTGTAGCGATCACGAGCTGGTCACGGATCCCCCGTTCCTCTGCCCACTCTCCGATGAATTCTTCAGAACTTTGATCTTGACTGAGAGGTTGTGAAGTGTGTCAGCGACGAGGACGAATTCAACATGACTGCGACACAATACCCACTAGTTATTGGCAGTGTCGATGAAGTTCCCCCCGGCATCGTAGAAGGCGTCGAGGAGCTTGAATGAGGATATCTTGTCCATACTACCCAACCCAAATTTCTCCCACTTGTCACCGATGCTCATGGCACCGAGTTGTAAGGGTGAGACATGAACGCCCGCATGAGGGGATAATGCGCGATATCGCGCTAGCCTAGATGATGGCTTTGGCACGGGTGCCCAAAACGAAGTCCTTTCATTAGACATGGTTGTAGAGTTGAGTGGGTTGGAGTTGTTGAAATGTAGTTTGTGTGAAGGTTGGCAGCATTTTATACATGTTTTCCACCTTGACACCTCGTCAGCACCACCGTGTAATCACTGTGATGCCAGAGAAACGCGTCAGTTGTCTGAGTAAGTTGTACCGCACAAACCTCAAGTCAGCCTACGTAGTGTATCGGCAGGTTCGAGTGAGCTAATCATCCGCGAGGTCGGAACCGAGTCACTCACGCGTTTGTCATGAACATGTGTAAGACAGGCTGATAGTACGCGTCACAATACATAAAATGGTCAGAATAAAGATGAGTCATGTTTCTGATCTGCGTGATTGATAAAGAGATCTCGTAGTGAATATGTAGACTGGAGCCTCCCGAAGGAACATCAACAGATCTCAGTGGGAGCAGACGAGTCACGACCGATGCGTACAATAAAAAGTTCAGATTTCGGTTTGGAAGGTCACGTGACACCTTGGAGGGAGGAGGAGGCCATGACCGCATGCCGTCAGCGAGTAATCGATCGATCGAGATCTAGAGGTTAAATTACAACTACTATAAAACACAAGTAATTCCTTGCGTTCTTACGGTATATAAATTCGCGAGTAGCACGTTAGTCAGGGACATATCAACATAGCACGACTACTGTCGGGGCTGCACAACACCATACATCGAAGCAGACCCGGAGCTCTACACAACGCTGTATCTCCCCGCCACTGCAGTGGGATTCCGCATTTCTGCTTGCAGTGCTGCAGCAGACGCTTCGATGAGCAAACGTTTGATCTCTCGCACAGCTTGTTCCACCTAAAAGAGTGTCAATTCAGTGGACTGCACCGAGTAACGCGTAATGCAATCCGCTCACCCTGTATTCCTCGTTGGACTCGATCAGCAGATGGAGTTTGGGTGGGCCTTCCAGAGGAGGCTCTTTCCCAGATTCGTAATATATACCTGTTACAATCAGGTCAAATTAAGATACCGAACAGTCATGCTTCTGGACAAACCTTTGTTGGTGACTGATGCGCCTGTCATATCAATAAGCTAACCAAGGGAAAAATATGAGTGAGTATATGGCCAAAAACCAAACACGTAACTATGGACAACGCACCTGAACCATAGTTTCCTTGTTGGTGACCCTCCATCTGGCCTTCTGCGGGTAATCATTGATGGGTATGATCGCGTGGAAGTCTGTAGAGTCGAGGTTGGCTTTTCTGAGACCACTTTCGTCTGCCTGAATTTGAGACTGCAGGACCAGCCTCGTTGCCTTCATCTGTGCGTTCAGCTTTGCCATGACACTGAGGGCTTGCTTATGCGCGGCTGTGTCTTTCCCTGCACGCGCAGCAGCATCCTGGGCAGCTTTGAGTGACGCCTGAAGCTTCTCTTCTTCCTTTGCATGTGCGAGTCGCCTAGCAGCTGCAGCTGCTCCGGCTACTCCGAGTAACCCCTTCGAAGAATCAGGGGCGGGACCACGCTTGATTTCGACTTTGAAGTTGCCGAATGTCATATCATCCCCAGCAGTCGTGGGAGTCTTGACAGCAGCTTCATCAACTTTTTCTTCTTCGGGTTCACCGTAAGCTTTCCGCTCAGCCCGATCTTTAGCTTCACGCTCCTTATCGAGCCTGTCAAGACCTTTGCCACCAAATCCTGAGCCTGCAACTTGCGCCTTCCCAGACTTGACCTTTTCCAAGAAGCCTAACGACGTAATAAGCCTAGATCACGAATATAATTGAGCGAAACATACCGTTGGCCAGCTCCTCAAGCTCACTTGGAACAGCTGCATTACTTGCCTTAAGCGCACGGTAGATATCAACAGAGTACCTCTCTTGTTCAGGAGTTATGAATGTAACACATGTGCCTTTATTGCCTGCTCTCCCCGTACGACCAGCGCGATGAACATAGTCTTCCATATGATTAGGTGCGTCGAAGTTGATAACAAGCTTAAGCTGTTTGACATCCAAACCACGAGCAGCGACAGAAGTAGCGATGACGATGGGAACAACTCCAGATTTAAAGTCGGCAATGGTAGAATCGCGATCAACCTGATCCTTGCCTCCATGCAGGGACATACATAAGTACCCTTTGCGCATAAGGTCGCGGAGCAAGTTATCAGCAGCTTCCTGTCTGTCGACAAAGATGAGAGTACGGCACTCAGGGTCCTCGTTGTACATCTGCCCCAGGATATCCAAGAGGCGATTGAACTTGGACTCCTCTGGACGCACTTCAACAATCTGCTCGATCTCCGCGGCGACCACAGAACGCCCGCCAACAGTGATTTCAAGAGGTTTCTGTAGAATTTTCCTTGCAAGAGAGTCCATTTGTTTTGGGAACGTCGCAGAGAAGAGCACCGTTTGACGGTCAGGTCGAATGTTGTTGATGATCTTCATGACTTGAGGTTCAAAACCCATGTCAAACATCCGATCAGCTTCATCAAGAACCACATAAGTGACACGCTTAAGGTTGGTCACCCGGCCAGAATTGGCAGTGAGGAGGTCGATCATGCGGCCAGGTGTGCATACAATGATCTCAGCACCCTTCTTCAGCTCAGCAATCTGGTCCTTGATTGGGGAACCACCATATGCGCACACAGCCTAATGATGCGGAATAAGATATTATGGATAGATCAAAGATACGAGAACATACACGAAGGTTCATCACCCGTAAGAATGGCTTGCATTCTCGATGAATTTGCACTGCCAGCTCGCGGGTAGGAGTCATGACGATGGCAAGAGGGCCTTCCATCTGCTCCAGGGGCCGCTGGTCCTTGATGTGACGGAACAAAGGGAGGAGAAATGCTATGGTCTTCCCTGAACCTGTCTTTGCCACACCAATAACGTCGCGACCAGACATAATTGCAGGGATAGCTTGAGCTTGAATGGCAGTTGGTGCAACATAATTGAGGCGTTTGATAACATCCAAACTTTGAAATACGTCAGTCAAGGACTAGACTTCGAAAAGTAGTTGATACCTACCAGCTTGCTGGAAGACCAAAATGACTCCACTTGGTCACTGGCCGAGGGCAGTCAATACCACGGATTTTGATGCCGTCAAGTTCTAGTCGCAAGAGGTCAGCTTCCTCGTCTGTCATAGCAGCAATGTCTGGAGGGGGAACATAAAATTCCTTCCGGAAGGGCTCATATTTGACACGAGAATGGTCGACAGCGGCGATATCTTTCTTCTTTGCTTTCTTTGCCGCAAGAGCAAGGATGTCTTCAGGATTAAGATCGGTAGTATCAAGCTCGTCTTCCACAACAACGGTTTCCATGACTTCATCCTCCCCATCATCGCCCATACGTTCGGCGAGAGGTTTAGAAGATATGCCTTTGACGCCG